TGAAGGGTCGATTCCTTCTGGATGTTGTAATCCGAAAGGGTACGGCCGTCCTCCAACTGCTTGCCAGCGAAGATCAGGCGCTGCTGGTCGGGCGGGATGCCTTCCTTGTCCTGGATCTTAGCCTTGACATTGTCTATGGTGTCACTTGCCTCAACATCCAAGGTAATCGTCTTACCCGTCAAGGTCTTGACAAAGATCTGCATGCCGCCTCGCAAACGCAGCACCAAGTGAAGGGTCGATTCCTTCTGGATGTTGTAATCCGAAAGGGTACGGCCGTCCTCCAACTGCTTGCCAGCGAAGATCAGGCGCTGCTGGTCGGGCGGGATGCCTTCCTTGTCCTGGATCTTAGCCTTGACATTGTCTATGGTGTCACTTGCCTCAACGTCCAAGGTAATCGTCTTGCCTGTCAAGGTCTTCACGAAGATCTGCATCGCTGCTGCAAGTGTCGAATTGAAGAAAATATTTGGATACTCTGGGGACGAGAAGTCCTGTTCACTCTTGGGCCTGCCATGCATGAACAACGATTATGCGGGCGTAGGCTTTTCTGACTGTTGGTATTGGAATGTATGAAATATCTATCTATCTATCTATCTATATATATATATATAATAATAATAATGATAATAATAATAATAGTAATAATAGTAATAATAGTAATTTTGTCTGGCCTCAACCCACGGAACTTGGCAAACGGACTCAGTCAGCAGTTGAGGTGAGTTATGTAGGAGCCTGCTTGAGATGCTCCTTGTTGAAAAGCTCACTGCATGATATAGGGGCCTCTAGAGCTACAATAGGGTTTGGGGTTATATTATACAGTACCGTACTGTACCTAGAATAAGGAACCCCCAAAACACTAAACTTGTCGGGGCGACTTGCTATGTAGGGTTGGGGTTTATACAGATCATCGGGGTTTTAGTAAACCCTAAACCCTAAACCCTAAAACCTAAACCGAGGGTTTGGGAGCTTAGGGTTTAAGCTGCGTTCACTCTTGCATGCTGCCGCTCGGTAGAGTGTCGATTCTGCGAAGACGTTTCTGAACTTTCTTGATCATAAGGACCCTTCGGGGGGGTAGGGGGGAGGATGGTATATGGGGCCTTAATTTTGATACCCATAATAAGGACTACCCCCCCCCCCCTGTTAGGGGTCCCTATGACTTCATGATGCCTGCAGCTGTTGAAAGGAGCCACCTGGCCACGAGGACAGAAGCAGCACGGAAAACGTATGAGCAGCTCTGTTGAGTATCGAACAGCTGCAGGCATCACGAAGTCATGGGGACCCTTAGGGGGGTAGTCCTTATTATGGGTATCGTCGTCGTGGTCGATGCCGTCGAAGTCGTCGAAATCGTCGTCATGGTCATCGTGGTTGTCGATGGGCATGGTCGTCATGGCAGTCGCCGTTGTCACCATTCTCGCCGGTATGGTCGTCGTCCTAGTTGCAGCGGCTCTGGAAGTAGTGGAGTGAAGCAGTGGTGAAAGCAGCTCGATGGAATCGGTTCCGTCACGGCTACTGGCTCTGCACCTCGTCCCCAGGCCCTCGGACCACCGGTACGGCTTCTAAACGCAGGAAACCCCCGAGCCGGCCTCCTTCAAGCAAGGGGTGCGGTAGGAAGGATACCGCTCATGCGCCAGGTGCAGGAACGGGACCTGGCATCCGCACAGCTCATATTGCTGTCAGCCGCTGGCGGCGGGAGGGACATAAGCAAGACCAGCGACCACACTGACGACCACGACGGAACAAAGCAGCCATTCTTGAAAAAGCAGCCTCAACATGCTCTTCATCCTCACCCTCATAATCTGTAAACAGAGTCAAACCCGCCATCACCATCATCATCAGCATTATCATTCGATTATGCCCAAAGCCGCTGTCACGCTGATTCCGTCCGTGTTTCTTTGCCAGTGTCACTACCATCGCGACTACGACGGCCAGTAGTCTCTGCCACCACCACTGCCATTGCCAGTACTACGACTACCATTGAACCTGATTACGATTGTCATTATCGCAACCACTCCCACTGCCGCTGCAACAAGATTTTCCTGATCTTTGCCACTCCCTTGCAAATACAGCTAGCAGTACCAGTACCATTACCAGCAACCTTTCTACGTGTATGCCAAACATTGCACATACTGGTATTGCGGCCCTTCCAGTTACCATTACGAGTCCCATTTGAAGCTAGCTTCGTCGCTGGCATGACCACGACTCCTGCCAGCTGAAATATCAGTGCCATTTCAAGCGTTACTATGCTCAGTGCAAGTATTACAGTCACCTTCATCATCCTCATCAGCAACAGCATCATCATCATCATTGTCACTGCCATTCAAAGGACCATTCTAATTACCATCACCTTGGCATAGCCATCATCATTATCATTGTCCTTGTCTTGCTGGACACCGTACACGCTAAACTTGTCGCCGCAACCAAATTTGGGACAGAGGCCCTTTTGCTATACCTCCTTTTAAACACAATAAAAATCTATGTCCAATAGTCTGTTGGATTTCATATGAACAAAAAATATCATTCCTAGGGAGGCTATATAGTTTGAAGGAGCTCAAATTAGAACAACCCAGGAATCTTTCGCAGGCTGCGCGGCACTTGCAATTCTCTCAAGCAGCCGGAAAACTTTGCCCATCCAGGCCTTCCTGTGTTCTCGCTAATGGTTTAGGGTTTGCGGCTAAGGGTTTAGGGATCTTCACTCAAGCTACCATCATAGGGGTTTATCAACCTTAGCCTAGTATAACACCCTCAACCCTAAACCCTTTCGACAGTCCGCATGACCGATTGCATAAGCCCTAAACCCTGAACCCAGTATCATACTTCAAGCTATCATCATAGGGGTGTACCATCATTGGCTTCATATACTACCGTAAACCCTAGAACTTCACACGCATTCCGAAGTTCCTAAAACCAGCAGCTCCGAGGTTGGAGGCTACGGGTTTTGGGGCTGAGGGTTTCAAGTTTAGGGTTTTGGGTTTAGCGTTTAGGTTTTTAGGGGTTTGGGATTAGTGTTTAGGTTTTAGGGTTTTGGGTTTAGGGTTAGGGGATTCAAAGTTTTGTGGTTGGGGTTTTACAGCAGGGGAGATAGCTTCCAGCTTGGGTGCTACACTTTTAGATTCTAGCTCAGGGGGCTTGAGGTTTACGATTCTTGTAAGGGTTCCTATAAGGGGTCTATCAGGGTACTTCAAGGTTTGGGGTTTTGATGCTTGCAGTTTGGGGATTTGAGCCGCAGGGTTTCTAAGGTTGGAGGGCCGCGGGACCCGGTTAACCGACCGGGTCTGCTTGGACGCTGTAGCCACCTTTGGGTGGCCGCAGGCCCCACTCGACGGTTCATGCTTCAGCATGCACCTCTAAAGTCAGGAGAGATCCATTCCGCAGTTCTGATTCTAATCTTGGGTTTTGTGGCCCCATATGCTATAATTATAATAAGGACCCTATGAAGGTAAAGATATCTAATATAGCGGCCTTAATAACTAGAAGAGGGTTTTGGGGTATATTATACTATCGTAGTCATAGTAAGGAACCTCCAAAAGAGAATAGGTAATTCTTTAGGCCCCTATATCAAACACCAGATCTGAAACCCTCAACTGGCATCTCCCCTCTCTGGTGCCTTGGCTGAGACCCTTTGGGTGGCCATCTGCAAAACGTATCCGCAAAAGAGCGGCGTTGTGGGGGCAGAAGCGAACGGTGACACGGTTTAGGGTTTAGGGTTTAGGGGGTTTATGGCATATGACTCAACGGGTTTTGAAGGCTGCGCGTTGAACGGTTGCCATCTTCATTTGGGTAAGCACAAGCGCGGGGGCGTTTGGATATCTCGGGAATTCAAGCACGCTCTTCGACAGAAGGGTCTTCTGTCCTATACCCCCTTAGAATGAGAACAAGAATATTCCTCAGGGGATTATACTATACTCCCTTTAGAACCATAATAAAAATCATATGTTTAATATTCTCTTGGGTTTTATGAGAACAAAAACAAAAAACAATTCCCCAGGAGACTATGGTATAGTTTAGAAGGGGCCCCCACCCTGTAATAGTGGTATAATCGGAATGTAATAGGGCCAATAGGGCCCTAATTGGGTACCCTAAATATTAGGTGCCGTATTATAATAAGGATCCAAAGGGACCCTAATTAATTTTGACAACCACCCATATCTCCCTAAACCCTAAACCCTTTATAGAACCCTGATAGATCCCCTTAAGGAACCCTTTAAAGGAACCCTAGGGACCCTAATTTTGACAACCCTAATGGATACTCGTCGAGACTAGGACTCCTCAACTCTCTCCCAACAAGTTTAGGGCTACGGGGCGTTGGGCTTTTTTTTTGGGGTTTAGGGCTTAGGAGTTTAGGGGCTTAGGGGTTTAGGGGCTTAGGGGTTTAGGGGTTTAGGGGTTTAGGGGTTTAGGGGTTTAGGGTTTAGGGGAGGGGTCAAGGTTGACGCTTAGGGTTTGGATCAAGTTGCGATTGAGTCTGAATTGTGTTTCAGCCCCCACTTGCTGCTCGAGGCAGCTGGCTCCTATCAGACTACTTGGAGTTGGGGATCTCAACGAGAGCTGCGCTCAGGTAGGTCATTGCTGGTAATCAGTGCTACTAGTAACTAGTGTCCTGCAGTATCCTAGCGGTACTTCTATAGCTGCTATGACTATTCAATGCTTGGGTCTCGGAGCAGCATTATCACCTCCAGGGCGGACTGGCTACGAAATCCTCCGGAAGATGTCATCTTCGCACGACGGCGCCTTGAACCTGGAAGAGGGCTTTTGGATGCTCTTGGGCTCAGGGTGCTTGGAAGCCCGTAAATGCCAGGCTACCTCAGGCCTCACATTAAGGCTTTCGGGTCCATGTCTCTGGGTTTGGCGCTTCGGGCCTCAAGCTTTTATGCTTGGGGGGTGGGCACATTTGGGCCCTGGTCTTTCTATAACCTGGAAGACATGAAACCTAAACCCCAAAAGCCCTTTCGGGATCTTCAACGCATCCTGTGCGAAGCCGTACTAACTCGCGCCCGCCTTTCCTTCTAGGACTTCAAGTCCTCGAGCGTCACCGGGTTCACCAAAGCCTCAGCTGATACCCGGAGCTCTTGGGGCACCAGGGACGAGGAGACGGGGCTAGGTCTGAGGTAGGAAATTACCCTAGACCCTAAACCCTAAACCCTCGGGAAGGACTGTCGGAGGCTGTGAGAAGACGGCGAGCGACCCCAAATCCCAGCAGAAACTTCTGGGTTTATCGGTCGGGGCTCCCCGTTCGCAAGAGCTTGCTGGAACAAGGACTCCCGACAGGGAACCTTCTCGATTTCGGGCATCAACGCCAAGATCAAAACTTAAGAGTCCTACGCGCAGAGCTGCAGATTATCCTTTGAATCCAAAACCCTGAGCTTTGTCGCTGGTATTCACAAGTAGGGCTAAAACCTGCCTCCGGTGGATCGAAAACTTTTAGACCGCTACCTTACTTGCAACTACATCATAGGGACCCTTAGGGGTGTAAGGAGGGGGAAAGGGGTAGGGGGCCTTAACACTTCCTTAAATTGGCCTTGTTATATCAGTCCTTCTTATACAAGTCCTTATTTTCTATAAGTCCTTGTTATATCAGTCCTTATTATAGGTATGAAGGCCCCCTTACCCCCCTCCCCCCCCACCCCCTATAAGGGTCTTCTATGACTACAAGATTCCTGTCTTAAACCATAGGATACTCTTAGAATAAGCCTAGACCCCCCCCCCTAAACCCTAAACCCCCCCGGACCCCCCCCCCTAGACCCTAAACCCTAAACCCTGAACCCTAAACCCCTAAACCCTAAACCCTAGACCCTAAACCCCCCCTAGACCCCCATGAAAGATGGCAGGACCAATCCTACGGGCATCTCCTGCCAAGACGATGCCGCTGGAACCTGAACCCCTACACGCCAAAAACCCTGATCGGTTCAGGGGTTTAGGGGTTTAGGGGTTTAGGGGTTCAGGGTTTGGGGCTGAGGGGTTTAGGGGTTTAGGGGTTTAGGAGTTTAGGGGGGTTTAGGGGTTTAGGGTTTAGGGGTTTAGGGGTTTAGGGTTTACGGTTCAGGGTTTAGGGTTGAGGGTTTAGGGTTTAAGGCTAAACCTTTGAACCTTCCACCACCACACCTAATGTAGTGGTCTTAATGTTGAAGTTTTTAGGCCCTATGTTAGGACAATAGCACCGTAGGTGGAAGCTCTTCCGAAGCTCTGTACGAAGCTCCAGGGCAGTAATCAAGGCCTATTGGGGCTTGAAAAGCGTGAGGCTTCAGGGCGCGTGTGAGGCCTAAAAAGGGGCTTTGTGCGGTTCCAAAAAGCAGGCACCCCTAATCCATCCTAAAAGTCGGCTGAGGTGCTTTAGAGTGCATGCTTAGAGGCTTGGGGATTAATAATGAATCAAAGTGGAAAACGAGGGACCCTTAATGGGGACCCCTACCCTATAATGGGTTATATAATGGGTATATAATGGCTATATTAAGGGTATATTACCTAGGGGTCCCCATTAAGGGTCCCTCCTTTTCCCCTTTGAATGAAGAGTTGGCAGTCCTAAGCTTCAAACCTCTTTTTATAAGACCCTTCGCCTCAATCACTGAGTACTTTAGGGGCCTAAATGATTACCAATACTATAATGGGCCCCAAAACCCGAATCATTCTAATTATTAATACTATCATGGGCCCCAAAACCCTAATCATTCTAATTATTAATACCATAATGGGCCCCAAAACCCTATTCTAACTATTAATACTATAATGGGCCCCAAAACCCTATTCTAATATTAATAGTTTGAGCTTGGTGGCCCAGTCCTTGTGCGACAATGCGCGCCCCTTATCGTCATCGTCGTCATCGTCTTCCTGGTTTAACCATGTCATTCGCGTAATGACCAGGCCCAGCACGTCGACCTTGGATTCCACAAACAACATCGTTGTCAGTTGCTGGTCTTGCGACGCTTTCACCCTTGCAGACTACTCTTCTCGGCCATCTCTTAATCTCACTACTCCTGCTATAGCTGATTTTGCTTTCGCTGCTTCTTCTACTATCCATGCCACTGACTATAAGTCTATAAGTGCTGTCTGTATTAGTACTTCTACTACGCAGTTTCTGTCATTCGCAACATCCGGTGGCTACTGTTGCTCTACCTGCTACAGGTGGCATCAGACACAGCAGCAACAACAACAGCAGCAGCAAGAACCAGAAGAAGAAGAATAGCCACCACCAACCACAACTACAATTCAATTGGACGCCATGCGAGCGGGCTCAGCACGTTGCAGGCGATTGCCGCTTGTGCACTCACTTGAATGTGAGCCTGACCCGATGACCCGGTATGGTCTGAGCAGTCCTAGAAGTGATCCAGTGATTTGTAACTGGAGCTGCGGCCTACCAAGTATGTACGCAGCGTCAGTCACGGACAGTAAAGGTCCTGACATCCTGCCTGCACTGTGCAGGAGCACGGTTTGGTACCTGAAGCAGGCATTTTGTGCACGCTTAATCGCAGCTGTGGTGGTGCGACGCCGAGGCTGCGCGACTGCTGTCTGTCACTTTTTCAAGCCTCATGGCGACGGCTCAGATGCAGAAAGAACCACAACCACAACCACACCAACAACAACAACCACAACCACAACCACACCCACAAGGACAAGAACAAGAACTAGAACACCTCAATCTCTGACTCCAGAATCCAAAGCCCCGCCCCCGAAACATACATCCTGAACCCGAACCCCTGAAAAACCCAAACCTTGCAAACACCTTGCTACAAAAAATGGAACTCTACACCCACGAATGAAGTCAACGCCCGGACGCCGGCACACCGGAGGCGGCCATCTTCGTGTCCATCGAGGTTTTCCAGTCCAATAGAGTCCGGCTGAAGAGTCCCTGGTAGGGTCAGGGAGAGCAGGATTAGATAGCTACAGGGTTTGACGAATTGGGCGGATGATACAGATACCACTACAAAATACTACAAAGATTACTATGCTTGTCATTACTAAAAGTGTTGTTGCTGCTGCTACCGTTGTTATTACTGTGATCATGACTATTGTGACTGTTATTACTAATCATGTTGCAAATGTTGCTAGCGTTGCTGTTAGTATTTGCTCATGTTCTTAGTATTACTCTTGTTGTTATTGCTGCTCTTGTTTTGCGTGTGTGTCTGGCTCTTGCCGTTCGCGGTATTCATGTTCATGGGCTATGCCTGCCACTCTTGTGTTCGTGGTCTTCTTGATATTGCCGCACATCTTGGCAAAGCTGTTGCTATTGTTGTCTTGTTATTCTTGCCATTATTGTTAGCGGTGGTATCCTTGCGTCATGTTGATTAGCGTTGCTACTACTGATATTGTTAGTCCTGTGATGATGCTACAATGTGGTTTGTGTGCAAACCCTAAACCTAAAATTTTCAGGATGGGTAGGAAATGGATTCACATTATCCCGTGCGCCTGCGCCATAGCCGGGATGTCCATCCAGTCCTGCTGCAGCAAGAAGGCGTTTGCAAAAGACATCGCTCGGTAATGTTCAACACCTATATCGAGATCGATGCAACGGTAACCATGGGTAGAACCAGGACAACTTCAGGTGACTGCTGTGATTCCTCGCAGTGGCGTTTACATTTACCATCTTCGTAACGGCGTTTACACTGCTGTCACCACAACCACGACCGCGACGGCGGCTACGCGCTCAACGCACAAGCTGCAAAAGTTTTCTGAACATTATCACAGCTGCTGTTCTTTGTGACTCCAGTGGCGACGATGACAACGGCTCTCTTTAGCGACTGCTCACGAGTGCCAGCAGGATGTCATGAAGCGGCACATTAAACAACGTAAATTCCACACCTAGACCATGTGAAACCCAAGGCTAAACACGGAAAACCGAGAACTCTATACTGTCATACGGAACCCCTAAATAGCAAAGGTGACTATTTCGGTCCCTATATCACAGTATCCTCATAGTAGCCCTTTGAAGTAGCTCTTATAGACCCCTTTGATGAAACCCCCGACCAGAAGACCCTCCACTGCACCCAGAAAAGCCATCTCCCAAGGCCCACCCCCCCCGGCTCCTTAATCTGAATGATTCTGTACTCGCCGTACATTTGAAAGACCGGCGGCCTCGGATAGCACGGGTAGTATAAATGCCTTACTACTTACCAATACTATGCTTAAGGTTTCTTGCTGTAATCAGAATATAATGTACCCCAAAACCCTATTCTAATTCTAAAGGCCCCTATAATATGTTCCGCCTTTCTTTCAAGCCTTAGAAGGGGTTGTAAGGGCTTCTTATAGTGTTTTACAGGTTGGTGAAAGGTGTTGACGGGTTTTCTAGGTTTTACAGGACTTGACACGACCTCACAATGTGTGGGTAGTAGTATAAGGGTTGAAGAGTTCCACATGGTTCTTTTCGGGTTCAGGATATAGGGGTCCTGAATGATTACAATGGACTTGAGGTAGGGAACCCCAAGCAGCACAGACCCATCTAAAACCCGCCTCAGCCCTGAGCCCTATCGTGTTCTGGGCAAGGAAGCTTTACTGCAGGGTTTCAGGGGATGCTTGAAGGCTGGTGGGTGGTTATAAGTAGGACAAAGGTCTGCCTTCTCCAGACAGTGGAAATTCGGCACCAAATCGCAACATCCGAGTAGCACAAATTGAAGCTGTCGCGCGACCGCTTCAGAGCTCTGCATACCTTCCGGGTTTAGGGTTTAGGGTTTAGGATTCACTGTCGGGTCTAGGGTTCAACATGGAAGGGTGCAAAAGTTAGGCCTCAGGGTTCAGGGTTCAGGCTTCGGTTTGAGGGATCTCCACAAGTGGTGCTACCCCAGCCGCACACCCAGCCAGCATTCTAATACATTTTTGAGTACTACTACGAATACTAATACTGATACTGAGACCCTACATGATGTATTCCCTTCTAACGGGCATTCAATCGCTGAGCCATCTCGCCAAGACACGGTGAAAGGTTCAACGCCTGGGGTCTACAGGAGGTTTCTTAAAAACCTGCGCAGGGATTTTACACAGGAGTCCTTATGACACACACGCTCCAATTTAAGGTCCATAGTAAGGCTCCTTCTTGTTTAGTCGACGACAATATGCCATACAATAGACACCGGGTAATGCCCCTTTACAAAGGCACATATTACAGGGCCCTTAATGATTACAATAGGGTTTTGGGGCCCGTTATATACCATAAATATAATAAGGAACCCCCAAAATCGTATAAGTAGTTATAAAGGCCCCTATAGTAACCCTCTAGCTCTAGCAGGAACCAGGCAGCCCTTCCAAAAGCAACCCGCACATCCAAAACCTTCGACTCAAACCCTTTAAAGCGCTCTAGCATCCCGAATATAGGGGCCTTCAGAACTAGAATAGGGTCCCTTTAAAGGGGGTCTACAAGGGTTACGAGAAAGGAGCGTTGAGGGTACTATCATATAGGGGCCTTAATAATTAGAATAGGGTTTTGGGGCATTTTATACCATAGTCATAATAAAGAACCGCCAGAATAGTATTGGTAATTGTATAGGCCCCTAGATTACAAGCGCTTGGAACTCTAAAACTCCAGACCCTCTACAGCCAAACTACTTAGCCCTCATATGCTATTTTGGGGGTTCCTTATGTCAATTATAGTATCATGGGCCCCACTTTTCTATTCTGTTTATTAAGGCCCCTATATTAGGCCCTCACAGACGCTGCGAAGCCTTCATCCGTGGTAGCTCCCAAGTCGCTGCTGTTGCCAAGGCGGCGGCGGACAGGGTACGCGAAGAGGTTGAACTGGAGCCCAGAAACTCCCCGATATCGTGTGTTTCGGGTGCCGGGTTTTGCAAGATCTTGTGAAAGTTGTTGTATTACGCATTTTCGAAATTTCCGATCACCTGCATGGAACCCGCCTCCTTGAACCTGTACGAAAACAAAGCCCGTAGGACGTAGGTAGTTGTCCAAGTTATGGCCCCTTTTTGGGTACCCTATATATTAGGTGCCGAATTATATTAAGGACCCAAAAAGGGACCGTAATGTTGACAACCACCCACATAGAGGCACCACCAGGGCTCCAAGGGGACTCAGGCTCGGAGTCTGCTACAGGGGCCTCAAGAATTAGAATAGGGTCCCTTTAAAGGGTTTAGGAGAAGGGAGCTATAAGGGTACTATAGTATAGGAGCCTTCATAATTACAGTAGGGTTTTTGGGGCAGTCATAAGAAGGAACCCGCAAAATAGTATAGGTAATTATTTCGGCCCCTTTTTTGAACCTCCTCTGTGCTCTTTGTATGTGCTGCTCTTTTCCTCCCTGTGACAGTTGGAATACCACTATCGTCGAGGGTGGCCTTGAGGGTTTGAGCCTAAGTCTAGGGTTGAAGGATTTTGGTGGTTGTCGAAATTAGGGGCCTTTCTTGGGTACCCTAAATATTAGGTGCCGTATTGATAATAAGGACCCAAAAAGAGACCCTAATTTTGACAACCACCCATTTAGGATTTGCATCTAGGGTTTGGAATATGGATCTGGGCTTAGGGCAAGAATAGGGTTGTTTAGGTGAAGTGCAATAGGATTTGGGCCTAAGGTTCAGGGTTTCAGGATATGGGTCCAGAGCTTCAGATTTGAGGATGCCCGAATCCTTCTAGCATTGGGCATCGGAGGTCCCTGATAAGCTGAGGGACGATCATGTACTGCTCGAGCCCGTTGCCGGCAAATTCTAGGATCGTCTCCTGGAAGGAACGCGATGGCAGGGATCCAAGTGTCGACGTCGACGACAAAGACGACGATTACTACATCACCGTCATGCTGATCGTCATCATTATCCTCCTTCTGCTCGCAACGGCAGCAATCACCACCGCAACTGTGATCAGCATCAGCATCCGCATCGGCATCCGCATCAGCATCAACACCATCACTGGCAGGATCAACATCATCGCCGCCCGACCAACACTGCGCACTTCCTAAGAACTGCAACTGCGGTGAAGATAAAGTCCACGGAAAAATAGAAACCGAAACTCCGAGTGGGGTTAGGGCTTATGGCAAAGAGTTGAGGTATAAGTGCTTGCATGGCGTAGCACACAGGGCCCTCAGCTCAAAAACCTTAACTCTGAACCCTATACCCTGAACCCCAAATACAACCTATTTTGTTCATAATTTAATATTTATGGGCCCTCTCATACTTAGAGGCCCAGGGGACTTAGTAAGTCTGTTATAGGTAGAGTTATAATTGGGGTACTTCCATTAGGGTACTTATAACTCTACTTAAAACCCACTTACTAAGTCCCCTGGGCCTCTAAGTATGCAAAAGCCGGCTCTGCACTCCTCCAGAGCTCGCAGGAAGATGGGATAACTGAACTCCAGGACGGTCTGGTTGAGAGTTTGCGCGGCAACTCGGCGATCGGGATGTATTTAGGGGTTACGGGTTTAGGGTTTAGGGGTTTAGGGCTTAGGGTCTAGGGTTCAGGGATCTGGCGCCGCAGGGTTGACGGTGTAGGGTTTACCTGTGGCCCACCAAAAAAGAGGCCTACCTTTTGAACGAACTATTTCTAGCAACCATCATAAGGAACCCTAAAAAGGGTAGGTCTTTTCGGCCACCGGTAGGGAGTAGGATGGAGGGCTGCGTACGAGTTCGAATCAAACCCTAAACCCTAAGCCCCTAAACCCTAAAACCTGAACCCCTAAACCCTAAACCCCTAAACCCTAAACCCTGAACCCCTAAACCCCTAAACCCTAAACCCCTAAACCCTTAAACCCTAAGCCCGAAAAGGAGTCTGCGTCCAGGGCCTCGGATGTGGACTCGGTCGGGCCCGGTTCACGAAGATGACTGGCCGAAATGCCCAGAGAGCCCAAAACCCCTTAATTAAGGAATATAGCCTAAACCAATATATGAATCCCCTTATAATTTAAGGTATATTCCTTAATTAAGGGGTATTGGGCTCTCTGGGTGCAGATTCTGTCCACCCTCTGGACGCAACTCTTTAATACATACTATATAGTCCCGTCAGATGAACTATAATAACAGTTATCCTACTTATGACCCTATAAGAACAGTTATCCTACTTACAACCCACTATAACAACAGTTATCCTACTTATAAGCCCGCTTATTGGTGATGTCTGCAGCAAACATCGTCGTAGTGGCCTAGGCCTAGCACACAGGAGAGCACCAGTCATACCTGGATTTCTCATCGCGCCGAGTAGTAGAAGCAGTAGTAGTGGCAGTAGTAGTAGTAGCAGCGGTACTAGTAGTAGTAGTAGTAGTAGTAGTAGTAGTAGTAGTAGTAGTAGCAGCAGCAGCAGTAGTAGTGCTAGTAGTAGTAGTAGTAGTAGTAGTAGTAGTAGTAGTAGTAGTAGTAGTAGTAGTAGTAGTAGTAGTAGTAGTAGTAGTAGTAGTAGTAGTAGTAGTAGTAGTAGTACTAGTAGTAGTGGTAGTAGTAGTAGTAGTAGTAGTAGTAGCAGCAGTAGTAGTGTAGTAGTAGTGTAGTAGTGTAGTAGTGTAGTAGTGTAGTAGTGTAGTAGTGTAGTAGTGTAGTAGTAGGAGTAGTAGTAGTAGTAGTAGAAGTAGTAGTAGTAGTAGTGGTCGTGGTGGTGGTGGTAGTCGTAGTAGCAGTCGTAGTAGTAGTCGTGGTAGTAGTCGTAGTGGTAGTAGTCGTGGTAGCCGTGGTAGTCGCGCTAGTAGTAGCAGTAGTAGTAGTAGTAGTAGTAGTAGTAGCAGCAACTAGCCCTTGGGTGTAAACCCGAAGCCGAGGGGCCATCGAAGCTCACTTGGATGCCAGGGACGAAAGGCATGCAATAGTGCTGGCCCTCGAAGGTTGCGCATTCCTCGGTGTAACGGAAAAATCTGCTCAAGAAAACCCTAAACTCTAAACCCTAAAACCTAAGCGTAAAACGCTCAAGAAGAGAATCGGATCCTTCTTTCGACGTTCTAGTAAGAGCCACGTCTTAACCAGGTTCCTACACGGCTTGACGATTCCAAGAAAAGGGCCTAAATACTTGCCGGAACTATTCTGCGGGTTCTTTATTACAAGTATAGCACAATGGGCCCCAAAAGCCCATTCCAATTACTACGGCCCCGTTTTTTTGGGGGGTCCTTACTATAAGTATAGCACAATGGGCCCCCAAAACCCTATTCCAATTACGATTTGAGATCGGGAGTCTGGGTTTCGGGGCCCCCAGCTCCCCGGGGTTGCAAAGAGGGCTTTGCCTCAAAGGGCTACCCGGTGAAAAGATCTGGGGCTCTGCTATGCCAAAATGGTTTAGGGTTGAGGGTTTTGGGTTTAGGGTTCAGGTTCAAGGGTTCGAAAGAGCAACAGGTTCTTTTAAGGTTTAATTTGAATTTAGGGCTTCGGGATGAGGGTGCACCCAAGCTTGCTGCTTAACGTGGAAAGCTGCTTCATGTTTCAAGGCCCGTCGGAGCCTTGACGATCATCGCTGCCGTATGCTTTCTACGGGCTTGCGAAGTTGTGAAGTTGCATGTTGTCGCACATCTCATCGGCTATGGGACTTTTACCACCTTCAGGTCTTGCTGCTGCCGCTTAGCAGTAGCAGTACTAGCATGGCCGTGGCCGTAGCCGTAGTGGGAGTGGGAGCAGGAATAGCGTGCTACTAGTAGTACTAGTAGTAGTGGTGGTCACAGTACGGAAAAACCGATTATCAATAGTAGACCGAGACGAGTATGAATGGGTTTGCGAAGCAGTGACGTAGCAAAAGAAGCAACAGGAAAACCAGGAGCAGTGGAGGCGCTAGCAGCAGAGCTTTGCCCAGCTTGCAGGAATGGAGGCAACCGGCCATGATGAAACGACGCAGCAGCAGCAGCGGCAGCAGCAGCAGCAGCAGCAGCGGTGGCAGTGCTGGTGGCAGGTAGCAGTCGCTGTAGCCTGCTGCTGCTTCTTCTTGGCGGTGCTGGTGCGTTGTAGCTAACACACATGCTCAACAAACACAAAAGTAGCCTTAAACCGAAAATATCACGCAGGCCGGGTGGCATCCAAGCTGTCACAGGTCTTTCCATACGGAAGCGGGCAATTTGAAGACGCTCTGTTGTTCCAGTCGCCTCGTGCGCTGGATCCACTACCCCAAGCCTTTAACAAGTGTAAGCACGGCGACCTAAGAGTTTTAAAGTCCAAGCCACAAGAATTCAACACAGCATCGCCGTTCAGCCCCCACCCTTTTTCCTGCTGTTCGACATTAGCGGTGCGACGAAACAAAGCCATCGCGGCACTGTTACCGAGAGGGACCTAGAAAACCATGAATGAAGCCCTAAACCCTAAACGCTCAAACCCTTAACCTTTGCCCCCCAGAACCCTAAACCCCAAACCCATGAACCCCTAAACCCCAAACGCTCAAACCCTCAACCCTGATCCTTAACATAGAAGCCTTAATAATTAGAATACGGTTTTGGGGGGCTCCTTATTAGAATTACAGCGTAGAACACCCCCGCAACCCTAATTATCAAGACCCCTATATTATACCCCTCAGCCCCTAAACCCCTAAATCCTAAAACCCTAAAACCCTACAACCCTAAACCCCTAAAACCCTAAACCCCGAAACTCCTAATCCCTAAAACCCCAAAACCCTCAGCCCCTAAACACCCTAAAATCCGTAGCCGCGCCAAGGCACACTGGCAGGTCAGCGGGCAAAAGGGCCTGAGATCAAGGCGCGAAGACGCGCAGCTTCTCCAGGCCACAACACACACAGATATTATACATGTGGGAGTTTCCGAAAATAAGGGGGGTACCTTTACAGGGGTCCACAGGGGTTTCTTGAAGGGATCTATAAGGGTTCTATAAAGGGTTTAGGGTTTAGAGTTTCCGAAAATTGGGGGTACCTTATTTGTAATAAGGATCCTACTATTCAGGGTACTACATTAGGGTCCCCTATTTTCGGAAACTCCCATATATACATAACACAAAGCAAATTAAGCGACTTGACTACCTAATCAAAAATGCACAATGATAGTAAGAAAAAGCCATAGTGACAGGGAGTACAGAGTTCAGGGTTCTTGTGGGGGCCTTAATAATTAGAATAGGCTTTTGGGGCGTATTGTTACAATCAAAAAATGAGGACCCCCCAAAATTAAGAGTTCAGAGCCTTAGGGCAAAGTATACGATGTTCATAATAAGGAACCCCCCAAAAATATTATTGGTAATCATGTCGGCCCCTATATTATAGAGGTTCAGGGCCTTAGGGTGTTCGATTTAGGGTTTAGGGTTTAGGGCCTCCGGGTGTAGGGTTTAGGATTTAGGGCTTAGGTTTTTAGGGTTCAGGGCCTTAGGTTTTAAGGGTTTAAGGCTTAGGGTTTAGGGCCTTAGGGTTTAGGGTTTAGGGCCTAGCACCTTAAAAGAACCCTTTATAGAGCCCTTATAGATCCCTTTCAGGAACCCCTATGGATCCCTTTAAAGGCTTTTCGGTCCCAGAAGCCAGAGACTCCAATATCCCTGAATTAAGGAATATACCTTGATTCATATTAAGGATCCTACTGGAATTTAAGGTATAATCCTTAACTAAGGGATATAAAAATCACCCAAACCCTAAACCCCAAAGATCCTTTAAAGGAACCCTAGGTATTCCTTAAGGAAAATTTCGGTCCCAGAAGCTCCACCGTCTTGAACTCCCAGTCGAACTTGGGATCCCACTGGAAGCCTCAGAGCAGAGCTGCGCCGGTAGAAGGGATCACTCCGCAAAAAGGGCCTTGGGGCTTAGAAGGGTTTAGGGCTTTAGGGTTTAGGGCTTTAGGGTTCAGGGTTTAGGGCTTCGGGGTTCAGGGTTTAGGGCTTCGCGGTTTAGGGTTTAGGGCTTTAGGGCTTTAGGGCTTTAGGCTTTAGGGCTTTGGGGTTCAGGGTTTAGGGCTTTGGGGTTCAGGGTTTAGGGCTTTGGGGTTCAGGGTTTAGGGCTTTGGGGTTCAGGGTTTAGGGCTTTGGGGTTCAGGGGGTTTCGGGTTCAGGGCTTTAGGGTTTAGGGTTTAGGGGATTTCGGGATTTAGGTCTTTAGGGGGTTTAGGGGTTAGGGTTCAGGGCTGAGGATTTAGGGTTTAGGGTAGCAGCTGTCACCCCGCAACAAGGACTTGATGATTTTCAAGAGTGGTTCCTTCAAAAGGCTACAAAAAGGAGATTACTCCAGGGGTCCCTACAAGTATTGCGCTAGTACTGGGGCCTTAACGATTTGAATGGGTCTTTGGGTTTACATTGCAGCATGGTGTAGCAGGGATTACACATGAACATTGCTGTCGACTGCTCTGTAATGGCTTTCAAGGAGGTTGTCAGGGTTGCACAGGCATCTTTTTGTAAGGGTTTTAGGGCCTGGGATGTAGAGTTGAAGGCTTTGGGTGTAGGACTCAAAGCTTGGGATTGGGGATTTGGATTTCCGGATTGCGGGTTATTATGGGATTCTAAGGTTAGGACTTAGGGTGTAGGGTTAGTTAGAATGGAGGTTCCTCTAAAGGGATCATAGGTTCCAAGACCTGCCACTCATAAGATTGATGTTATAACATCACACAACATGATATGCCCACGGATACCTTGACCGAGGCGCAGTTTCCCCAGCTGACGTTCTGACTCGAAAGGTTCGCAATGAACCCGCAGCCATGGTCCTGGGAAGGTGGTGTTTTGGGTTTAGGGTGTAGGGTTCTGTGTATGGTTTACCAGGCATACGGGTGCTACATTAAGGGTTCTCCTCGGGGCTTTGGGGGTTGCTTTAGGGTTGCGAGCTTGAGGTGCAATATACAGCCCCCGATAATTGCATGAGGAATTCTGCCGTGTGCTACCTGAGTAATCGGAGGTGGGGGGGGGGGGGGCGTACGATATTTATTTCTATATCTATATCTACATATATATATATATATATATATGTATAGATAGGTAGATATGCTGTATATATATATATATATATATACACTATATATATATACACTTATTGATTTATAGATATCCATATACTTATTATGGAAACCCTAGGCAATGAGATTCCTCATACTCCCGGACCCTGCAGAAGCGTGGGACCTCCCGGTGTGGCATCCCGACTTCAGAAGCGCAGCAGCTTCAGGAATGGGGACGCTTTCCGGTTCGGCCGGAGAGCTTCCCCCCCTTCCCCCCCCGGAAGCTCTAAAGCTTCGAAACCCTAAACCCTAAAGCCCTAAGCTTCCTCCAGTTCTAAAGCTCCGAAACCCCAAAGCCCTAAACTTCCCTCAGGGTCTAAAGCTTCGAAACCCTAAACCCTGAATCCTAAACTTCCCTCAATGTCTGAAGCTCCGTGCTTGAGGCCGGCTTGGGGTTTAGGGCTCCTAAACCCTACTTAGGAGTTTCCGAAAATTAGGGGTACCTTATTTGGGGGTCCTTATAACAAGGATCCTACTATTTAGGGTATTTTCTTAGGCTCCCCTATTTTAGGAAATCTCACTTGCCCTAAGCCGCAAAGACTTTAGGGCATGGGGTTTCGGCCGAGGGGGGCTCGGAGCTTCGAGAGGGCTGGCCATCGTCTCCAGTTCATGGTCGGGATGGGATAAATTCCTCATTGGGTTTAAGTGCCCATAAACATATAAAATGTTACCCAACTATGACAAAGGTCTTAGAGATCTCGGATTCAGGGGTTCAGAGAAACAGCTCCGCAGCCCAAAACCCCGAAGGTTGAATGCCCCTAAACCCCAAAAACCTCCCTGCCCAAGTCAGCACTACATCGCCTTGCTCCGGCTTTGCAAAAGTCTAGGGCGTCAGTCCCTCTTGCAAGGGTTTCGGAATCCAGCTCTCATTACTCTCAGGTTCGCACACCCAGCTTAAGCTTACCTTTGGGTAGTAGGGAATGGAGGAATGGGGTACCATTATAACTACTATTACTACCGTTCTTCAATTCCCTACTAACCAAAGGTAAAGTTTAAGAAGCTGAAGCAAAGGGGCCCACATCGCATCCGCGAGCAACAGTGCATCTTCCTGCCAGCCATAGCACGTGCATGTCTGGCATAAGTCAAAGCACCGCTTTCTGCGGCTCTCACCTTTCCAACTCGCAGTGCTGTGCGAACTGCGCGGATGAATGAATGGATGGATGGATGGATGATCAGAAAATCTGGAGTCCCGACAAAAAAACAAAATATCGGGGCCGTGATAATTAGAACAGGGTTTTGGGGCGCATTATGCTATACTTATAATAAGGAACCCCCCGAAAACAGTTCCGGTAACTATCTAGGCCCCTATATTATAATACCCTTATAGATCCGCTATAGTAACCCTTATATAGAACCGTTTTAAACGGAACCCCCAACTCTTACCATTTAGGCCCCCATACCATGGAACCCTACTACAGATCCCTCATAAACCCCTTTAAGGAATCCTTTAAAGGAACCCAAGGAACCCCCAAAATAGTATAGGTAATGTCTTAGACCCCTATATGGGTGGTTGTCAAAATTATGGTCCCTTTTTGGGTCCTTGATCTAATACGGCACCTAAAATTTAGGGTGCCCAACAAGGGGCCCTAATTTTTGACAACTACCCATAAATAAAATTCACGCAGGAACCCTAAATAGTACCCGAAATAGTAGGCTCCTAATTATAAGGACCCCAAAATACGGTACCCCTAATTTTCGGAAACTCTAAACCCTAAACCCTTTATAGAACCCTTGTAGATCCCCTGAAGGAACCCTTTAAAGGAACCCTAGGGACGCTAATTTTGACAACTACCCATATTACTACGGGAACGAGGGGCTCTCTGGGCTCCTCTGAAGCCTTCTGCGCAGGGGCTCAGACGCCGGCTCTAGGCTGGCTCTTTGCTAGTGCTACTTTCGGAAGCTGGGTTTAAAGTTTCGGGTTTAGGGGTTCAGGGTTGAGGGTTTAAGGTTTTTAAGGTTCAGGATTTAAGGTTTCTTTTTGTCTGAAGGCCCTGTTCCACCTGTTTCCAGCTAGAATTCCTGTACCAGGAGGAGCCTGTGGTTGGGGCCTCGGCACATGTGGAGCCTCTAACCAACCCAAACCTAAACCTCAGGATTTAGGGGTTTAGGTTTTAGGGTTTTAGGGTTTAGGGGTTCAAGGGTTTAGGGTTTAGGGAAACTGCTAAGAGGTAAAAGGAGAGCATATGAACTGGCTCTCAGCTAGTGTCAAAGATGCTTGTGGTTTGGAGCACGGGATTTCGGGATTCTGCAAGAAGCATGGTGCCTGACCAGGCAGATCGGCATCGTCCTCTGTGGCATAAGCACCTCAGGAACCGCACCGAAGGGGTCTTAAACCCTGAAACCCTTTAAAAAAAACACAAAAACCCTAAAACAATTCTAAACCCCAATCTCTAAAATCACTAAAATCCAAACTCTAAAACCCGTCAAACTCTAAAGCCCCCTAAAGCCCCAACTCTAAATCCCCTACGACGACCCAGGAAGGAACTCTGAAAGTGCAGGGTCCCTTGTCGGAGAGCCACATTTTTCTCAAAGGGCACCAAAGGTTAGGGTTTTTTTTTTTGAAAGCCCCTTTTCGTTACTGCAGATCCAGCTCCGAAAGCCCAGTCGGGCAGGCAGCTTACCCGCTTCGGCAAACAAAGAAAACCGGGTGAGTAACTTACGACTCCCCTCACAGCGAACACCACACCACCTCACTCGTCATCCTCGAACTTCTCCAACTGGCGCTTCAACCGCATCGCTTCCACCTCCTCCTGTTGGGTCTGGCTTTCCACTTGTATCACCCCCGTCGACCCCATGGCACCACTGGTTCCACCATCTTCCATTCGACCCTCGTGCTCTGCTGCCAACTGGTGCTGAAAGACCCCCAGCCACACATCCCCAAGAAGCTCCCGAACTCGTGCCGAAGTGATCTCCATGAGCTTCCACTTCTTGTACAGCAACTCCATGTTCTGGTCCGCCTGGCCTTCCTCCTTCGAGACTTCCCCTGCCGGCACTGTGGACGCTTGGCTGGGTGCTTCGCCTTCGACCTCCTCAATCTGCATCTCCAGTTGCAGCATCCCTTGCCCTTGTCGCGGGAGTAACACACTGAAGCTTTTCTCCGTAGCCTGCCCCCCTGGCGCCACATGCCGGATGCGGAATCCCACCTGCTGCCTGCGGGGTGTGTCCGCCGCCGTGTTCAGCATCAGCCAGTCCTCCCAGTCCCTGTACTTCGCCGCCTGGAACTGTGCGAAGTCCTCCTCGTCCCTTTCCGCTTGTCGTCTCTCGTCTCTCCTCCTCTTCACGTTCCCGTAGTTGTCTCCGCTCCGCACTTCTGTCCCTTTGCATCTCTTGCTCATCCTCATTCAGCTGGTCGATGGTGGGCTCCGTCTCCTGTATCGCCGTGGCCGCCACCTCCACCGTGGGTCTGGTCCTGGGCTGCAGCTCCTCACAACTCAACAGGATATTTTCCGCCATCGTCACCCATGAGTCCGGATCAGCCAGGCATTCACCCTGAAGTAGCTGTGGCCTCGTTTCATGGATCATCGCATTCACCTGTTGCAGGGCCTCCCCACTCTCCAAATTTTCGTCCTCCACTCCCCTTTCCTGGAGCCTGTGCTGTAGGAGGCGTGCTCGCCGTTGCCGATCACGGGGGTCCATTTGCCGCAGCCCATCACGAAGCCACTCCACACAGTCTCGCCATCGTTCTCGCCGTCCGCTTTCCATCGTCATCTGCATGAGCAAATGATCCTCCTCATCATCGTCCTCCTCCACCTCGACCCCTCACGACGTCCCGGTTCCGGATCGTGAAGTGTTGCGTCACCAGCCGCGACATCTCCACGAAGAGTCTCCCCAGAACCTGCAGCATGGCCACCGTCATCACTTGGAGGTCCGCTGCATTGAGCCCTCTGATGAAGGCCTGCCTGTCAGACTCACCTTCCGGCGGTAGCACACTGTCGGTGCGCATGAGTTCACCGGGTCCCGCTCACCCTAGGATGTCCAGCCACATGGCCACCGCGTCCTCAATGCTGATCGGCTGCGGGTTTCCATGCACCAAGGTGTGTCCCGCCCTGGGAGTCGTTGTTGCCGCCGTGCCTCTTCCTCCCCGCGCTCCGCTTTTGGGTCCGGGCACTCCACCACGGCTGCTCCAAGCGGCAGCTTCCCGGGCTCGTTCAGCACAGGCCGACGCCGACCTCCATGGTGGTGTTGTCCTTCCCCGTCGGCTTCTTGATCTCCTCGGGCTTCTGCTGCGTCTCCTCCGCCGTCCTTCGGGTCGTTCTCTAGCAGCCCTTTCACTTCTAGCTGTTGGGGTCCTGCGATCATGTGTTTCCCTGCTTCGTTCCATAAGGCCGGTGACGTCCCCCTCCTCCTCGTCTTCTCCATGCCCCTGGGTCCCTTGTTGGGTCGCCGGGCCTTGTGGCGGCGTCGTCGAGGATGATGCCCCGGTTGTGGACTGCTCCATGCACACCTGTTGTGGTTGTCTCCTGGGTCTTTTCCTCCGCAGGCAGTCTGGCCCCTCTGTCAGCATCCGGTGCCGTCTGTCCCAGCTCCATGCAGATCTGGTCCTGAGGTTCCGCAGCCCTTCGCTTTTCCACCCAATGGTGGCCTCCCTCTCGTCCACATACTCGTCCCAGAGTTCCTCATCGATCCACTCTGCCAGCGGGCCCAGGTCCTCGTGCATTTCGTTTTCATCAGTAAAGGTTAGGGTTTAGGGTTTAGGGTTTATGGGCCTTTATTAGGGTTCCTTATATGAATCCTACTATTTTGGTGTTATAGGCCCAGGGTTTCTTAATCAGGTTCCTACATTAGGCTTTTTGGGGGAAGCCCTATGAGGGTACTGCCCTCAGCCCGTAACAGTCTATTACAAGGGCCTGAATAATCAGAGTATATAGGGTTTTGGGACCGATTATACTTATAATCATAAAAAGGAACGCCCACAAGATAGTATAGGTCATCATTGAAGCCCCAATAATATATATATATATATATATATATGTATATATATATATGTATATATATATATATATGTATATATACATATATGTATATATATATATATGTATATATATATATATATATACATATAAATGTATGTATGCAGATATATATGTATATATATATATATAGATATGTATATATATATATATGTATATATATATGTGTATTATATATATATATATGTATGTATGTATATGCTTTTTTGTTAGGGGAAAGTTTAGGGTTAGACAACCCCCCACCTTTACCGGATCCTGCGCACCGGACACTCTCTACGGACCCTCAACTTTTCGGATCCCTCTTCGAGGACTCCTGAGTATGTCTACCCCTTGCTTGTGAGCAGCCCCCAGAAGTTCAAGCCATGACCCCTCAACCCCGAACCACTGAGAAGTTATATATAACAACTTATATATGGATATTAGTATATATAATAACTTATATATAGGTATTTGCATGAAACAGGCTCGAAAATTGTTGACCCAACAGCGATCTAGACCATGATCGTAAGCCAAGGGACGAATCGCATCAACCCAGCTTGCCCAGGCAGTATCGTTACGCATTTCCTGGAGCACACCAGGGGTTAGGAGGTGTTGGGGTTTCGTGTATATAGTGTTTGAGGTTTGGGGTTTAGGGGTACAACGTCGGTGACCCTTGTTTCCACATGCCCCGCTCATGTTCAAAGCTGAAACATGCTACGCTGTGGGCGGCTGAGCAATCCCGTCAAGGCAAGCTATCTAAAATCAGGGCCTCAATAATTAGAATGAGGTTTTGGGGCCGATTATATAGAAAAAGAAACCCCCAACCCTCTAGTAGGTTATCCCACCATGGGGTTCCATAACATGGGTTTCAGAAGGGGTCTACGTAGGGTGTTAGGGTTGGGGATCGAAGAATCTGACTAGCGTTCCGGTGGGTTTCTAGTACCCTAAGTAGATGCTCAGGCCCCCACAGTGTAGGGTTCAGGGTTTAGGGTTTAGGGTTTAGGGTTGCATATGAAGGTCTACAGCTTTTCCTGAAAGTGCAACAGTAAGGCACGCACTTCGGCGAAAGTTCTACTGGGAGCAATGGTGAACCCAGGCTGTCAGGATTCCTCTGAGAGAAACACCTTCACAAGGACTGAACCAGACAACCCTAAACTCCAAATGCAACCCTGAAACCCACAAACCATCTAAACCCTAAACCCTAAACCCTGAACCAGATAACCGAAACCCACAACCATCGAAATTTCGAACCCCAAAGCCGAACCCCAAAGTATGAACCCTGAACCCCAGACGACCCATAGACTCCGACTCCCTCCATCACACCATTATACCAAAATGAGGGTACCTCTGATCTTCAGCAACCCCCCACCTCCCCTAGGCCCTATATAAACAAAGCCAACAAATCCAGCTATACATTCCTGCGTGGCCCTCTACAAGACCCTGCGAAGCCTCCTATGAAGCCGTAATAAGGTACTCCAAATCCGAACCCCGTCCCTGAACCCGAAACACTAAACTTAAAAGACAACGTCATGGATTGTGACCGCAAGGGTTTTGCACATGTCTTTGTGGGCATGACGGTGCTGTGGGTGGCTAGAACCATGCGTTTTGCAGAGTCTGCGGCAGCAGGAACGAAGAAGAGGTGTCGGAATGCTGGTGTGTTGCTTGGTGTGGTACGCAAGGCATCAGGAGCAGCACACATCTCAAAGGGCCTGGCAGGCGTCTTTTGGGAGTTGGGGACACTGCATGCCTTTGTGCGTATGCACGTTATGCGTGTACAGGAGTAAGCATACTGCAGCAAGCAGGTGCTTATTGACATTGCTGCCCCCTGTCCTTCGTGCTCACATTGAACGACACAAAACGTCTCTGAACGAGCGCCAGAACTGGTCCGGTTAGGAGACTGTGTGCCGGCTTGGCTCTCGCAACTGATGCATAGAACTCATAGCACCACAAGACATGACACGTTCAGCAAGCACTCGGACTTCGAAGCCCGGATTACATCGATAAAGACTCATTTTGGTGCGGGGCCGCCGCTTCTTCCCGCAGTGCTGCGCTCGGGTTGTCTTCGGCAGCTTCTTCAAAGAGGTGGCTGGCACCCACGACGCTCCCACCGTTCGAATGCACTGCTAGCACGGACGTCATCATCGTTCGACCATGGAGGCTCGCACCTTTCGCAACCACTGGCAGCGGAGACGCAATCAGTCATGCTGTGCACGCACGAGGGGAACAGGCGATTCTGGATGCTGTGGACACTCGCGCGTGGAAGTGTTTGTGGCGACTAAACCTCTCACCGCTCAGCACTGTAGCTGGCATCCCTAAAGCGCGAAGAAACACCGCGGTGACAATTAGCGTCGCTAGCCTAAACTCTGAACGCTGAACCCCTGAGCCCTAAAGACTAAACCCTAAACCCCCCAGACCTCTATGAATCCCTTAAACCCTGAACCCCTAGACCCTTAACCCCTAAACCCTAGACTCTCAACCCCGAAACCCCTAAACCCTAAACCCAGACCCACTTTCGGAAGCCTCGGCGCTCTTTTCAAGGCACACACCCGTGGTCCGGTACCTCTTCGAAAGCTCCGATGGGCTCTGTGAGGGCCCAAAACAGCTGAAGCTACTTCAAGGCTTCCTTAAGGGAGTATTATGAGGGTTGCTATAAGTTACTTCAAGGCTTCCTGAAAGGAGTACTATAAGTGCTGCTATAAGGCCGTTGGTGTCTAACGGTTTAGGGTTTTCTTCGTGAAAGGGCTGAGGGCTTCGCGCGTAGGGCTGAGGGCTCAGCTCGCGTAGCGCTTTGTTAAAGCTTTGCATGGTTTTCGTGTTACAACACCCAAACAAAGTTTGCACAACCCTGCCGTCTGGAAAACCGGACGACATGGTGGGAGAGAAAAAAGTAATGGCATTCGGATTCAATCGTTTTGTAGTTCTTGATGAATCAGAATCTCGACCTCGATTCGTAAATCTGCAGGGCTCAGCTGATACCTAGCTTGGCTTCGGTGTAATTTGTTTAACACATTTGGATCCTGGATCCTGTTTAGGGTAAGCACAGGCCAAGGTGACATGCCCTTCCTACCTTACTACCATGAACCTTTCCAGTGTTTCTTGATTGCTGTCAGGTTTTTCAGAGATGACCCTATAGGAGTGCAGCAACTAAGTAAACTAGGATTCTACGAAGCATTATATGGGTTTGATGTGAAAAGGGACCACAAAAAAAGACACGAGTAGCACAGGGTCTTGGGGGCATCTCAAAATACCGTCACATGGGGATTCTGAGGTGTGGTCGCCACACATTCGACCTCCGTACCATCTTCGCATGCCTACTTGTTTTGCGGATCGAGTAAGGAGGACCTCGGATTTCTAGAGCTTAAGCCCCGTTAGGCTTCGGGTTCAAGGCTTCGGCTTTTGCATGCTTGGGATTTAGGGTTTGGGGGGGTTCGGGTTTAGGGGTTAGGGTTCTAGGGTTTTCGGGTTTAAGCTGTAGGATGTTGAAAGCTAACCTGCGAGCCAGGGTGCGTGATGTACTCTGGCTGGCTCTGACAAGGCCGACCATTTGCAAGGTTCCTGCCGTAAGGGCAGCCCTGCACCTGGGAGGGTACCCTAGCAACGACCAAAACTGCTCGGCTGCTTCCTCTGACAACGCTACTACTGTATTGATGCAAGAAGCACCACCACCACCACGACAACAACATGGACTGCCACCGCCAAGGAGATCAAAAACACTCGGAAATCACATCACATGCAATGCATCAAGCGGCAGAGATCTGGTCTCCCCCGGGCACTCTGCATTGGCACGTCTCCTTGGATTCTGAGCTTTGGGAAGTATGACTTTCTTTTTTGGAATCCCGGCTTCACGTGGTGGTGTCCAGGGTTCAGGCCTGGGGGTTCGAGCGCCTCGATTTCCGTGTTGCGGAGTTCGAGTTCACCTGTTGGGGTTTGGGGCTATGGATTCGGATCTCAAACAGGTGCCTGTCTATGACAGTAGATAGCGACATGAATTGTTGGTTTGGGTTTTAGGTTAAGCCTAAGCTTCAACCTTAAACCCTGAAACCCTAAACCCTTAACCCTATGTTAAGGCTTCTTCGGGACAAATCCAATACTCAGGAACTTCAGACCAATATTATATGTTAGTATACATTATATATATATATATACTATTACATATTATATATTATGAATTATATATTATGAATTGTATATTATGTATTACTATATAATATATTACTGTTATATAATGTATATTACGAATTATATATATATATATATATATTATCTATATATATATATATATATATATATATATATTCTATTATATTATCCTTTAGCACCTCCTCCAAGGCTCGGAGCAGAGGAGGCGCACGCTGAAGCCGAGGCCGCCCTGAGCTTCCCAGCGGGCTCCAAAACCCCTTCATTAAGGGATCCTTTAAGGGATCTATAAAGGATCCATAAGGGATCCTATAAGGGATCCTATAAGGGATCTATAGGGTTTAGGGGATTCTAATATCCCTTACTTCAGGAATATACCTTAAATTATAGTAGGATCCCCAATATGATTTGAGGAATATTCCTTGATTAAGGGATGTTGGAGTCCCTGAGCTTCAAAGCGGAGGCGGAGAGGACGCGCTGCGCAGTGGGGCGTAGGGTTTAGGGGATTTACTGGTTTTGGGGTTTAGGGGTTTAGAGGGTTTAGGGGTTGAGGGTTTAGGGGTTTAGGGGTTGAGGGTTTAGGGGTTTTAGGGGTTTTAGGGGTTTAGGGGTTTAGGGATGAGGGCTTTTGCGTTTTAAGGTTTGGGGTTTTAGGGTTTAGGGCTTGGAGGGTCTAGGGGTTTCGGGGTTTAGGGTTTAGGGTTGCTTCGAGTCTTACAGCATTTCGGGTTGACGGTTTTGGGTGTATCAAGGAGTGTTTAGCAAAGTGTTCCGGAGGATGAGGGGTGCAAGAGATTCTTTGTTCAGGGCTTAGGAGATCCAGGGGCTTCTGGGGTCTCAGGTTCCGGGGTTTATCGACTTTAGAGCTTGAGGACTAACATATTGGGGACAAAAATATTTTTCCCCAATATGTTAGGGTTTAACGACTTTAGAGTAGAGCTTGAGGTGTCTTAAGGTTCGGGAATTCGTGAAGGGAGCTGCGCAGGTTTTCGGGTCTAGGTGTTCACACAGGATTCGGTGGTTTGTTCTGGATTCACGGCGTAGGATGTACCTTGTGAAACATAGCAGCACGTTCCTACTGTGGTGCGGTTTCAGCTTTAGAATTTGGGGTTTAGGTTGTAAGGGTCCGGAGTGTATGGGTCTGGAATCGGTCGGGAGACCCAAGTACCGCATGGGGGCGTGGCCGGAGATTCTCGTGGACGGATTGTAAAGGCTACAGGACCCACCAATATGAGTATCCATAGCCGTCCATAGCCCGAAACTCTACAACCTAAGATACGAATCCATTGCCTTTGCCTGCTAGCGCCACGGGAACAAGTCGAGCTGACAGATCAATGGATAGAAAGTTATAGAGAGCGAGAGAGACAGAGAGAAAGACAGAGACAGAGAGAGAGAGAGAGGGACATAGATGGATAGATAATCTGGTACCATATAATATGATGTAATGTCATATAAGAACATGTATATATATATATATATATAGGAATAGAGATATAGAGATGTAGACCGGGCGACCTGGACAGCTTGTTGTCTGCTGCACTCGAGACCCTCCGCCAAGCCGCATCCGCTGCGTACTCTGGAATTTTCGTGTAGGAGCTGCAGAGGTGCGCCCTGGGAATCAAACTAGCACGATGGTTGCAGGAAGGATCCGAAGAAGGAGTCAGTTGCCCACACTCCCGGCGGCGATGTGCAAAACGTGAACGAAGCCCGAAATTTCGGGCGGGAAAGTGGTAGCAGAAATCCATGCAGTGGCATCACTGATCAAGAGCAGCACCATCCATTATCATCAACAGAAACAGCAGTAGCATTGTGGTCGTCATTGTCATCGTCATCGTGGAGGTCATCCTGATCATCATCATAATTACTGTCGTCATCATCGTCATGATCATCTTCATGAATGGCGACAACAGAAAGAAAAACAGCACCAAGAGTGATACTGCTAGGAACAGTTGCCGTAGCACTAGTAGCAGCAGCAGCAGTCGTAGTAGTAGGAGGAGGAGGCGGAGGAGGGAGAAGCAGCAGCAAGGAGCAGGAGCAGGAGCAGGGAGCAGGAGTGGGAGCAGGAGCATCAGCAGGAGCAGTAGAAGTAGTAGTCGTCGTCGTCGTGAAAGTCGTCATCACAGCAGCAGCAGCAGCAGCAGGAGCAGGATAAGGAGGAGTAACAGTAGCAGCAACAGCAGCGGTAGCCTTCGTAGTAGCAATCGTCGGCATCGTCGTAGTCGTAGTCGTCGTCGTACTCCTCGGTCGTAGTCGTAGTCGTCGTACTCGTCGTCGTAGTCGTCGTAGTGGTCGTCGTCGTTGCAGCGACGTTGCAGTCGTCGTCGCTGTCATGACTTCTATTGCTAGAATCAAGATTTGTTGTGCTATCATGTTCAGTGTTGTTGTTGCTCATAAGCCGCAGGCACGGAAAGAGCAACATCGCAAATACATTGTGCCAAAACCCTGCTGTGAGGCCAAGCGACACATCCGCGCAGCCCTGGATGCTTTGGTTGCCTACGAAGAACCTCGCAGGCCACACTCTTCAGTGCTGTTCGAACGACTATCTAAGCCATCAAATCCGGAAACCATAAGCCACAAAATCCTGCTGCACGAAACTCTGCCTTCACATGGTTGAGTATGTGTGAGTCCACAAACTCTCAAGTTGAAATAACACGCAATCGTGAAGATCGTATCGGTCGCAGATAAGGTGGTGCCGCTCCGCCCTCACATCACTGGATGGATGGGAAGCTTAGCTGGACATCCGCCTGAGAGTCTATGCATGGCTCTAAGAAACTTAGAAATATTTGGACTAAGTAAGCACCATGCATTGCAAAATGATGAAGGAATACGACGAAACAGAGTCAGAGTGATGACGATGATCAAAGTGACGTATGATCATGGTGGTGGTGCTGACAGCAGGAAAACGAAAAAGCCCGGCGTCCACATCTTTGTCGTCGTCATGGCCGACGCAGCTGTTGTTGCTCTCAGATTCTCATCAGCGCCAGAAAAACAATACGATCTTGAGCGCCAGTATGATCGCAATCATCATCTTTATCATCATCGCGGTCAATGTCGATGCAACCATCGTCATCCTCATTGTTGTCTTTACGGCCATCAACATCATGGTCGGCCTCATCATGACGATCCTTATATGGCACGTGCAATCATCATCATCCCCCATCATCATCTTCCTCTCGGTGTGCAAGCAGCGATTGCAAAAGAAAGACACAACTGCAAGACCAGCCTGAGGTATCTCAACATGGAGAGGTCCTCGGGCTCGGCAGTGGGGTCGTTGGCATTGGCGGCCAAATCGTCACACGACCTTACACGCGACAGATGTAACAAAATTCTGGTCGACTGCTGCTGATGTGGGTGTTCCGGGAGTTGGGGCAGCCGCCCGGCTCAAAGCGAGGAACTGCCCGCCTCTGAACTGCGCAACTCGAACCCCCTAAACCCGCAAAATCTGTTAAGTCGAAAGCCGAGGGACGGATTTTCCTCGTCGATTACGTCGCTCAGCTGCAGCAATCGAGTGCCGAGCAGCTCACTCACCTGGCGGAGGACTTTGGCGAACTCTGCCCAAAGAGTCAGGTACTCATAACCCTAATGCGAGTAACCATAAGAAGAAGAGCTCAAAATACTAGTAGCAGTAACAGTAATAATCGAAATAATAGTAATGCAATAGTAATATTAAACATACTAATAACAATGATAAGCATCACAAAACTCCTTCAGGTATTTCGAGCATGAGCTGTGGCTCTCTAGTTTGCCCTGTACCTGGTGAACCTCCTGTCCTTGGGCAGCCGCCGTTTGAGCTCCAACACTCTGCATAACCTACCTACACTGTCCGGCATCATGCTAGTTACAGCAGCAACATCAGCAGAAGAAAACTTAATAGTGAAGAAGGGTATAAAATTGAACGGGACAGCTGAAGCACACGCTCATTCCGGATTGCAAGACGGGCCACGTCATCCACCCAGACGCCATATTTTGCATCGTCACTGGGCAGCTGTGAAGTTTGGGCAAACGGGCTGAGGCATCTGGTGTGCTCAAAGGATTTAGAAGTGATGTCCATTAAAGGAAAGCTTACTAATTACAAACATACCCTGCCAGCCGAAGTGCTGCACAGCAGCCCTCTAATTGCCTGGTTCCGTTCACCGAAGAAAAGCCGCAGAAACATGCGTCCGACTACTCAACCGCTCAAGGCGAAAACAGCCAGCGTGCCCGGCACAACGTTCGGTTGCAACTAGCCTATCTTTTTCACTCCTAGGAGGCTACCTTGTACAAAATCCTCCCAAACTCCAGGCACCGCACGTGGATCCACGGCAAACGAAAGGACTCAGAGGTCTCACTCTTCGTTTGACGCAGTCTGCGACTCTTCACCGGGCTGGTTTCCAAGTTTCCTACTCCTTCAGCTCCTAACAAGCAGAACCATCCTGTCTAACTCAAACGGTTTAGGGCTTTAGGGTTTAGGGTTTAGGGTTTTGAACTCTTGTGGAACACCTAGCAGAAGGACTGCAAACAGCCTAAGACTCAATCTTCAGAATCTTCAGAAGCTTCATGTAGGCCCCTGGATGGTACACCCACCCTAAAGCAAAGGGAGTTTATCAATCAGAGGGTCTAGTATAGAAGCCGTAATTATGAGAATAATAGTTTTGATGTCCGCTGTACTGCAAATTTAGCAAGGAGCCTAGGAACCTCAATGCATACTCTTACCTGTTATTCCGACCGCTACATTAAACTTGGAAAACCATCTGAAAGCCGATATGACGCTGTTTAAAAACGCTTGTAACCCCTTATATACCTTTGGCATTTTGCAATACTGGTAGTTCTAGAAATAAAGATCCCTTTGTAGGCCCCGAAAACAATACGACATCCTTGTAAAAAGGACCCTAAACGAGATCCTAATAGAAGGGCCGCCCACAAACCCCCAAAAGCTTAGAGCCCAAAAAAAACAAAACCCCAACAGCCCAAAAGCTCCAAAACCGTAAACCCCTAAAGCCCCCCCCACACTAACTTTCCATCGCCCAAGGCTCTCATCGAATCCCGGCTCGAAGAGCTCTGCCTGGTGACCCGACGGCACCAGGATCACAAATTCCCGCGGCCCTGGCACCTTAAAGCCCCAATTTGTGCTCCCTATGGTAGCCCTGAAAGCAGTGTCGTGCAGTATAGCATTCAAGTACATGGTACGAAGATGTGTGAAACAATAATCTATATATATATATAGAGAGAGAGAGAGAGAGAAACTGCGTAGCTCAAAGCCTCAGCCCTAAACCCCACGAGCTCTAAACCGAAAGCCCCCCTTGCCCTTAACCCCAGAAGCCCTAAACCCGAAAAGCTCTAAACCCCACAAGCTCTAAACCCCTCCAAAAGCTCTAAACCCCAAAAGCCCCAAACCCCCAAAAGCTCTTAATCCCCAAAAGCTCTATATCCCCTTCGTGAAGGGGGCGTCTTTGACGGGGGCGTCTTTCTCTGGGCCTCGTCGATGGCCATGGTCCGGATGGACTGAGCTTCGGCTTCCTGAAGCAAAGATGGAAAAGTGGCCGTTTAGGGCGTTAGGTGTTTTAGGGTTTAGGGTTTTTAGGTGCTTTTCGGGTTTTAGGGTTTAGGGCTTTAGGGTTTTTAAGTGTGTTTAGGGCTTTTAGGGTTTTTAGGGTTTTTAGGGTGTTTGTGTTTTTAGGGTTTTGGGGCGTTCAGGGTTTAGGGCTTTAGGTTTTGGGTTTTAGGGAAGCGAGGATGGAAAAGCGCCCGCTTGTTGAGGGTCTATATGCTCTTAATACTTCGAAAAAAGTGCCACCTTTATTACGAGTGCTTATAGGGTTTTACGCACTGTTAGTATGTAGAAGTGGCCCCGCAGTGAGTAGACTAGGGCTTTTAAAGAGTTTTGTCGAGACTGATCGCTTTTATATGGTATGCTTCACAGCAGAAAAAATTAGGATATGGTTCCTGAAAAATGGGCTTAAAGGATTTTTGTTGGATTGTTTTCGGGTTCTAGATAGGTGCTTTGCTCATTGAAACAGGGTTTTGGGGTACGTTCTACTGTCATGATAATGAGGAACCGGATTCGGTAGTGGTTTTGCTTATGATAACATGTCAGTATAGTAATGCTATGCAGCACAGGAGTCTAATATAGGGACCTTCATAATTACCTATACTACTCTGGGGTATACTGCACCTCCCACCTCCCACCTCTTCTATTCTAATGATTAAGGCCCCTATCTTTACCACCCTGAGATTGTGGCAAAAGCATCCTTCCCAGGCCACAAGATACAAGAAAAACTCACTAAGTCCACATCGCCAAAACCCGACGAAGCCGTCACAAAACCTTACAAATGCCCTTGTAACAGAAAGACAACAAACAATACCCCCCCTATAAAGCCTCTGGACTACCCCAGAAACCCTGTGGGGCTTTGTTGAAGTGAGACAGCCACAAATACACTTCGAACAGCTATAGTTTCAGCCATCTGCAGGTTACGTTCTCGTGAGCTGTCGACCTAACGTCCGTCCGCAGGGTCTCTAGCAATTCAGTAAAAGGCTTGTGGGTTTCGCGGCTGACACCCCACTCCACACGCTAACTGGCGAGGCGCCCAGCCGCCACCGGCTGTTGGTGCCATGAGCACGACACGCCGGGAATCCACATCCCACACGAAACCTTTGCCGCAGGGCAGCAGTGCAGGGTTTAAGGTACAGGACTAAGATCTTGTTCAGAACACGGCTCATGGTTCAGCATGCAGGTGACTGCACACAGACAAGTTAACTGCTGACATCACTGCTTGGTCTAGCCGCTTTTCGCGATAGCATGGGAACCACTTAACAAGTAGCCCAAACAGGAGTACGTGCTGCGGTGATTATGAGGATCTGTGAATCGTCAGCTCAAACCCCCAACTGTAAACCCACCGAACCTCCAAAAAATCGAAGCTGTGCTCAGTGCTAAGCATGAACCCGACCTCGACGCCCGAAACCCAACATGACAACCTCAATTTCGAAAGCTTGAAGCTCAAACCTCAAACAACTAAACCCTGGCGCCCTCACGCCCTAGCCTAAGCTACGCACCATGCTAGAAGCCCAACAATCACCCGCCACCGGCCACAAGGCCTTGGTATCCTCCGCACATGGTTGTCGACACGTCTTTCAACAAGGTGACGAAAGGGTCCTGCTGCGTCTTCGTCGGCTGAATCTGTGTATATGTGCTGGCGACATCCAGAGACAGGCAAACATTGTGTGCATGATATATATGTTGTGTATATATATATATATATAGATATATGTAAACACATGCATGTGTATGTATACATGCACATGCGTGCTTCTGCTTAAACGCACCTATGTGCACGTATGTGGGTATAAATATATGTATGTATGTATGTATTTATGTATGTGTATATATCCATATGTCTACATGTCTGTGCGTACATATGTACATATGTACATGCATATACATATGTATATACAAGTAACTATGAACATGTTTCTCAACGTACACAAGCGCATACATGTTTAAAATGTATATATGTACATGTGCAGATAGGTATAGATGTATGGATGTACAGATGCACACATGTGTACTACATTTTCAACACGTACGCGCGTATGCATGTACCCTTGTGCGTGCAGTCAGACATGCAAAAGGACCACTGGTGCATGTTGGATCTTGGATCTTGGGCCCTGGCCTCGTTTCAGCATAAATACTGGACTGTAAGGAACTATCCCAATTGTTGGTTTCAGTACAAACACTGAAATATGCTGAGCTATGTGTTGTTGGATGAAACGCTTCGAACGGCCGGAGATGGCAATCAAACTACAGAGGTAGGTCTGTGTTTTGCACAGACCTAGGTAGGAAGGTCGGCATGTAGGTAGGTCTACATGTGGTATAACAGTAAGTATGTATCTATGCGTGCGGCGTCCATGATTACATATGGCTTTGCCTCCAGGAAGGTAACTGCACGGACATAGACGTCGGCAAAATTTATAGAGAGAGAGAGAGAGAGAGAGAGAGCGAGCCAAACAGACACAGCGATAAATAGATAGATAGATAGGTAGATAGGTAGTTAGGTAGACAGATCGACAGGGAGATAGATAACTAGAGCAGGCAGAAAGATAGGAGAATCATAGCTAGCTACACTGCGCTACGTCGGATAATGCAACATGGAAAGAAGTTAGATAAAAGCCACATGATGCCAATTTGAAACCTCACAAGGTCATATACTGACAGAACATGATGCTTTCCGACACACCTGATATTGAATGACACAAGATGCTGCTGTATGACAGCATCTGGTATGCTCTACCATCTATACTATCTGATATGCTGTCGCCTGTTCATGCTACGAGTACACACTCTCTTTCGGCTCCAGCATCGTGAGGTAGACGACGATCGTCATCCCGGGGATGAGGATGCCTCGGAAGACGGGATCAGGGTTTTGGCGTTTAGGCATCAGGGCTTTAGGGCTTCAGGTTGAGGGGTTCGCCGCTCGCTTGTACGTGCACAGACCATTTAAAGCAAAGGCTACCCGGTAAAAAAAACAGCAGGGGCTTCAAGAGATTCACAGGAGCATAACAATCAATAACATCTTACTCGTATGACCTCGACGCGAGTACATGACTAGATCTATATACACACGCCAATCTCTGCTTGATTGGCTTAGGGCCCCTTGTTGGGTCAAAACTCAGGGTTCGCATGTTCCGCTTCCGCTCGGCATGTTTGGGCGATTGCTTCGTATCTGAGAGTTTAGGACTCCGACCTGAATATGAGGGATTGGGCCCCGGCTGCAAAACCTCTAGACCCCACTCCCCACACCCAAACCATAATCCCAAACCTTGAAATCCCCAAACCCAAAAAGTCAGAATATCCTCAACCCTAAAACCACAGTACCTGATCTGATTTTTTAGGCATGCCTAAAAAACCCTAAAACCCTGAACCTTAAGGACTTCCTAAACGATCCCGAAACCCGACGCCCCCCCCCCGGGGCTTCAAGGCAGCCCTGGCCTTCCAGAGACTCCAATATACCCCTTAATTAAGGAATATACCTAGGGTTAGGGTTTCTTTAAGGGATCTATAAGGGATCTATAGGGTTTAGGGGATTCTAATATCCCTTAATTAAGGAATATAATTTAAATTATAGTAGGATCCTTAATATGATTTAAGGAATATTCCTTAATTAAGGGGTATTGGAGTCTCTGGGCTTCTTGCGGTGTAGAGAATTGACAGCCAGCGACACCCAAGCCAGAAGCGGACGTTATGGTTTAAATTCAGTTTTAGGGTTTGTGTTAAGTTTTAGGGTTCGGGCTCTAGAGAAGCGGACTTATTGTTCAACTTAAAGTTTTAGGGTTTTGTTCGATCCTTGAAAGACGTGCGGATTAGGCTACCCGGGGCTTGACGGGTGTCGGATACTTCTCCCAGCCTGCTTACAGGATCATGGGACTTAGTTACTAGGGTTATAATTAGGGTAACTATAATAATGACTCCTTCTCACCCCAATTAAGGTACTTATAACCTTACAGGGCTTCGTGCTAAGAGCCGCCTGAAAACACCCCCACCTGTCTCCCCTAAAAGCCATGAGTGCCTAACCCTAGATGGGTGGTTGTCAAAACTAGGGTCCCTTTTTGGGTCCCTATTATAATACGGCACCTATTATTTAGGGCACCCAAAAATTTTGACAACCACCCAAATCCTACAACCCTGGATGCTCAACCCAAGACCCTAGACCCAGAACCCTAAACCCTCTAAGTGTTGAACCCTAAACCCTGAACCCACAAACCCTCATCGAGAAGCTGTCCAAGCTCCTATATCCCTTAATATACCGGAAATCATATTAGGGATCCTAACTATAATAAGGCATGCTTCTTAATTGAGGGCATGTTGCCCTTATACGAGCCCTTAGAGGAGCCCTAATAGCTCCATCCTAAGGGGATATTGGAGTTTTTTGAGATCCCCATACCCTAAACCCTAAACACCGGATGATATCAGGGATCCTACTATAAGGTATACTCCTTAATTCAGGGATATATCATATAAGGGATCCCTACTATGATGTAAGGAATACTCCTTAGTTAAAGGGATATTGGAGTCTCTTTCCAAGCTCCAGCGGCTCATGCACACTTATAATACTAGGGCTACTAGGGCCTCTATAATTGAAGGTAGCCTCCCTAATTAAGGGGGTATCGGGATCTCTGGGTCCAGCGGCTCATGCACACCGACTTCAGGTCCGCGCCACGCCAGCGCCTTGCATTCGGGGAAGAGCTCGGGGGCTCTGCTCTTGGGGATCCCAGAAGACTCCACATATCACATCCCTGAATTCCGGGTTCAGGGTTTGGGGTTTAGGGGTTTCGGGTTTAGGGTTTAGGGGTTTAATGTTCTTCGGGCATCCCAAAAGACTCCAATATCCCTTAAAAAGGGATCTATTAGGGCTCCTCTAAGGGTTCGTATAAGGGATCTGAATCCTAGTAGGGATCCCTACTATGAATTAGGGTATATTCCTTAATTAAGGGGTATTGGAGTCTCTTGGATGTTTGAAGCCCATTGTAGGGCCTAGCATTTGGGAATTAGGCTTTATGACTACGGTTCGGGGTTTTTTCGATTCTTGCTGCACAACGGAAAATCAATAGGTGCGTGTGCAGGCGCAGTCGCCGAAATTCCTTACCTTTGGTAGGGAATGGGAATGGAAGAATGGTCCTGGTAGTAATAGTAGTCATAATTGTATCCACTCCTCCATTCCCTACTAACCAAAAGTAAGATTCGGGCAGAGTCTAACACGACTCCAGGACATCCCATCTATGTCAAACTGTTATAAATGCGCAAGAAACGGGATAACACGGCTGTGAGCCAAACCTGTCGTAATCTAAGGAAGGTGGACTTTGGGTACAGGAGGCAGCTGCGGCTACTGCCACATTGCTCCAGCTGACCTGGACACCTAGGTCTCTTGATTCAGAGAGACTTTGGACGGGAGCTTTAACAGTTTAACCCTAAGCCCCAAGCCCTAAACCCTAAGCAGTTTAGACGAGGTTTCTGTCGTCGTGGCTGTCGGAGTAGCATCCGTACAGAGAAGGCCCCGCTTGAACTGTCCTTTACAAGTTTTCGCATTGAACACCAGCGACTCCCATGAACAAAGTATTGTCTGAGTAGCCCAACCCATAAACGGACTTCCCGAACTCTTCCCTGCTGACCGTTCTGCGAAGTACCCGGTGAACTTACACGCGCTTGCACGTGGAACAATAAACTGCGCAACCTGAAACCCTAAACCCTGACAAAAAAATAAAAGCCTGCAAAAAATAGAAAACCTCTGAGGTATCGCTTTAGTAGGGTTTCCACAACACAACCACCTGAAACTGCTGCCTCAAAACCTAAACCCTAAACCCCCTAAAGCGACGTGAAACTGCTGCTCATCCCGCCACGCCTCACAGGAGGCATCGGTAGCGGATCCAGCTGGTGAACCTTGGCTGAACAACTCCCTGCGCAAGAGTATTAGGGTTTAGGGGTTTAGGGTTTAGGATTGAGGGGTTTAGTTTAGGGTTTAGGGGTTTAGTTGAGGGTTGAGGGTCTTCCAACTCCCGCGCCCCAAAACCCTGCACCCCCAAAAGCCTGAATACCAAACTTCGCTCAGCTGCGAACCCCCAAAGGCTGAACTCAAAGCCATGAATGTCCGAAGCCGAAAACCCCAACACGGCCCTAAGGAAACCTAAACCTCAAAAACCCTAAAAACGCCAAAAACCCAAAAGCCCAAAGCTCCACAGTGACCCCTCTCGTAACCCAAGTAGGGTAGCCCTAAGAAGCCCTGAACCTCTGTTGCGGCTCCGGGGGCGAGGTGGCGGCCCGGGGTTGTCGCCAAGGCATCGAAGAGCAGGTCGTCAATGTCCTACGGCTTGTGGGTTTAGGGTTAGGTTTTAGGGTTTACCTTCACCCCAAGTAACATACCTTTTTAAGGACTTATATAAAGAAATCATATTCGGGAACCTTAAAAAGGCAGGTTCCTTAGGGTCCAGGTAGTGGCTTAAAACTTTTGTTTAAAGGGCTTGGGGTATTACCAGGATGCTCTGGTGACAGCTCCGAGGCTAAGCCCATCGGCCTGAAACATGCTTGGCAATACACTTTCAGAGGATGGAAACTACCCTCGTCTACGCCCTCAACCGTCGTTTATAGCTTGTAGACATATAAAGATACGTATATATGAAGTAAAAGGATGCCGATGTTGGACCCGAATTTGAACCCTAGACGCACTGATCCTGATTACAAGGGCCCTGCAGAAAACTTCAGGAAGGGATTTTTTGGAAGCCTGAAATACCATCCATGTGGGTCGCTCAACCCCTCAACCCTGCACCCCGAACCCCTAAACCCTTCAAAGACCCTACACCTCCATACCCTGAACATCAGGGGGTCCAGGATGATTCCCAAAGCCACGGCATTCAGGATCAGCTCGGTGACGTTGACCTCGAGCTGGGGAACTTCGGGACCTCTCCATTGACCAACACACCGCCATCAAGGCTCAAAGCTTGTGACTATGGCAGGAAACATAGAAACCCTAAACTCTAAAGCCTGTTAGCGATTCGACTGAGGCCTCGCAGGCTTGAAAATGTAACGATAGTAGAGACACTGGCCTTGTTAAGCCTTAATCCCGAGGCCCACAGCCGCAGTTCACAAGCCAAGGGACCGGAGTGATTCGAACGGTGCTTTGGGGGGGGGGGGGGGGTCGAATATCGTAGAATTATTGTAGAAAGCCCTAGCAATAACGTGACTATATGATTATTAAAATTATGCAGGCATCACCAAAAAGTGATGTTCGTAATCATTCCAGCCCCTAGAGTAGGTCAAGGGGCAGTGTAGACCAGGAAGAAGGTGCCCACGAAGACCTGAACTTTGGGGCGCTCTCCAGCGTCGCGCGGGGCGTTGGGGCTTCAGGTGCCAGGTTTAGGGTTTAGGGTTTAGGGTTTAGGGTTTAAGGTTTAGGGTTTAGGGTTTAGGGTTTAGGGTTTAGGGTTTAGGGTTTAGGGTGTTTGGGATTGAGGCTTAGAGATTGGGACATCAGGGTTGAAGGTTCTCAGGATTGATAGTTTGCGGTGTTGGGGTGAAGGCTTTTGGTTAAGCTTAGGGCACAACACAAGAAGAGGCTTCAATTCCTTGGTGGCCGGTGCTTAATCCCACCACTTTGTGGTCAGCTACCTGGGCGCAAGACTGCAACACCGAAAGGACCCCAAACCGCTGAAACCTACCCTAAACCCTAAACGAAACCTAAACCCCTAGGCCACCCTACCCTCGTCTCCGACGAGCCGAAATGCCAGGAGTGCCGCTGCAACGAGGCGGTAGGCGAGGAGGATGCCGCTAGCGATCCTTGGGGTTTTGGGTTTAAGGGTTTAGGGTTTGGGGTTTAGGGTTTAGGGTTTAAGGTTTAGGGTTTAGGGGTTCAGGGTTTAGGGTAGCGATCCTTGGGGTGTTGGGTCCTGCCCAGACCCCCTTTGGAGGATCCAACAAGTAGATCCCTTCATGGGGGTTCCTATAAAGTACCCTTAGTAATATAGGGCTCCAAATTAGGGATCTGATCTACTTTCTAGATCCTTCCGGGGATCTGGGTCGGGGCTTCCTAAGAAAGCACCTTCAATTCGGGAAGTCCGGGACTTCTTGAGATCTCTACCCAGAGACTCCAATATCCCTTAATTAAGGAATATACCTTAAATCATATTAGGGGTCCTACTATAACTTAAGGTACATTCCTTAACTAAGGGATATTGGAGTCCGTGTAGCTGCCCTCGGGCCTGCCGCTTAGAAGCCCATCGGAAACTCGCAACTTGTACTTGCAACTAGGCTTAAATCTCAGAGTTTGGGATCCCCGAGTTTAAGGGCGGCTGCCTTTTAGTGGGGTTCCCGCAGGCACAATAACAAAACAGAATATTACAATAAACATGCTACTAATCATGACGATGATAATAAGAGTAATAGTAGCACAAATAACAACAATGCTAGTAATAGTAACAGTAACAGCAATAGACCCGTCAGGCACTAAAATAGGGGGCTCATATAATAGTTGGAAAAGGGTTCTGGGGTGTAATATATATGTATGTATATATATATATATATATATATATATACATACATATATATATATGCATACACACCCACGATTGGTATAATAAGGAACAGCGAAATAGCATTGGCAATTATTTTGGACCCTACGTGACCTGTTCAGCAGTCTTGGAGCCAAAGCTTCAAATCCCAAGCCCGATGGTGGCTACAGTCTTTTGCTATTGCCATTATCATTACGATTAATTATCATTATTCTTATTACTACTATTACTGTTATTTTTATTATTACTATTATTGTTACTATTATTGTTATTATTGTTATTACTACTATTGTTACCAGTATTGCTACTATACTATTATAGTGATGACGATCATACCAGCAGCTGCCCGACCCTGAGATAAGGCACTAGAATAGGGTTTGGGGGCCCATCACAGTATAAATATAACAAGAAATAGCATAGATACTGATTAAGGCCCTCTATGTTAAACTCTACCAGGGCTCTTCCGCCGCAGGCCCATGGCTCGAAGCCGGTAATGCGTGGCCTGGCCACAGCGAATCGTCGGATCTCAGGAGGGGCTTGAGAAGGATTTCCGCTGCTCACAAAGATCCCTTCGGTCAGGATCCTTTCAAGTTTAGGGTTTAGGGTTTAGGGTTTAGGGTTTAGGGGGGAATCCTTTCAATCACTTAACCACAATATGGTAAGAGCATCCCTGGGAATATGTAAGATATTTGGAGTCTCTGGGTTTCTGGGCATAGGACTTCCTCGGCGCCCTTTGGGCATGCATGGCCTGGCACTAAACCCTGTACCCTTCCCTAAACCCTCAATTTTTGGGGGGGTCTTCAAGAGCCGCGGTCCAGGGTTCTTCCTTCGGGGCATAGTATGCGATGATCTTGCGGAGGAACCATGATACTCCTTCTTCTTCAGGCTCCCCATATCTAAACCCCTGTTGCATACTTATCCAATGCATAAAAAACCGTATCAACAACTCCAAAACTTCTGGAAACTCGACAAAAAATCCCTCGTTCTCACAAAGCCGTCGGGGCCATGGCCTGCGTGAAAGGGTTCTCACGGGTGTCAAGCCTGCAGGACAAGCGACAAGATCGTGCCCAGGACGATACTCGCAACGCACAGAGCGACAAGAACAGAGTAAGAATCGCAATTATTCGAAGATAAGACCAAGAGCAATCCCATCAAAAAGCACCCTATGAGCGTGTAGGTCTCAGATCTTCTTGGTCTACGTTCACAGGGACTGGAGCCGGGACCTTGGTGCTGGCAACGGAGCTCAGTCATTGAGAACACCGTTCTCTCAGAAATCATAACCGTCCTAACTTTGTATCTCGTGGTAGAGAATATTCTGTTTAGGAATTGGGGTTTAGGGTTTAAGGTTCAATCCGAGTGTGGGATTTAGAGCTGGAACTTTGGGCGTTGGGGTTTGCATTTCAGGTTTGCAGTTTAAGGTTCAGGGTTTCGGATTTTCAGTTTACTGCGTGCAACTAATTTACGTCTTAGGGTTTAGGGTTTGAAGTTCCAGGCTACGTTCCGAAACAACATGGCACCTCGTGGGCCCACGCTCCACGGCCATCACCCCTCGGTGCAGAGCCAGCGCGTGGCTAACCTCCAAAACGGAGCGGAGAGGAGCTCACAATCGCTCTCAAAGTAAATTGGATTTCTTGGAGGGTTGCTTAGTTCAAGAGTTCCGATACAAGCTTCAGTTCAGGGTTGCGCAAGGTTCTTTTAAGAGTTCTAAGTGCCCAAGCCCTTCTTTCAACGTCTGAGGACTGAAGGGTGCGGCGTGGCGTCTTCAATCCTGACTCATATCTGGGCCTAGAAATCTTCAGTATTCAGCGGTGTGTGAGTATGATCATGCAAGGACTGTAATTGGAGGTTTACATAACTAATTGATGCTCTACTCTATAATATGAACTGGCGGTCAGCTTTCGGAGCGCTGACATTTCGGGTCTTTCCTCTGCCTCCTTGGCCACCATCAGATACCAGCAGATGAGGGCGACAACGCAAAGCACCTCTCGCGACAAAGCACGGCGACGCCAGCGTGCTGTGCAAACAAGGCTGTCTGAACTGCGAGAGAGTGCGCAATATAGGGGCCTCAATGATTAGAATAGGGCCCACTATACTAAATAAGGAACCCCCGAAACAGTACGGGTAATTATTCAGGCGCCTATATATGCCTATATTAGTGCGACAAGGATGGACCTAACGGACCGTCAGCGGCCTCGCCGGTGAAGAACGAGGCGAGCCCCTCCTTCTCCGAGTTCAAGTACTTCCGAAGGTTCCTCGGGCCCAACACGGAAGTCTCCCTTGGGTCCTGTACAAGGGCTACTAGAAGGGGTATTATGGGGGGTTAAATGTAGGGGCCCTAGTATTTAGACTAGGGTTGTGGGGTATATTATACTATAGTTTATATAACAGGGAACCCCCAAAAAACTAGAGGTCTCCCCCAAGCACAGAGTCTGGCTCCAGACATGCGGGTTCCATTCAAGGCATATGAATCGGATAAGTGGCACAAATGGGAAATGAGATGTGCCTCCAGGTGCCTCTCACCGTGACACCCGGAGCACCCTGCAACCTCAAGCAAAGCCTGCTTTCATCACAATTCTCTTGCCGAACCTTAGAAGCTTCGACTGAAAAAACCCAAGGCCTCGGGCGTCGGACCAGTCTGCATCCAAGGGTCTCCAGCAATGCCAGCTGAGTCCCGGAGATGTGCAGGGACTTGTCCAGATCGCAGACTCTCTGCGTCAGAGACAACTTGGACGTCGCATCCTTAGCACGGCATGGACACTTGCAGGATCACACAAAAGGCTTAAATTGTCAGACGCTTATAGGGGCCTAGGACCTAGAGCTTTCGCGGTAGGCCTGGGCATGGGTCTAGGACTTGGGGTCTGGGCTTCCAAGCTGGAAAGCCAATGCTGTCACTCAAGCCTGCGCACACCGACTACCCATCCCCCTCAAACCTAGGAACAACTGAACCCTCAATCCCTAAACGAAAAGGTGCATGGATCTCTGAATCCTTCGAGTGTCGTATTCGGACAATGCGTGGCCAGAGGAACGCCGCCAGCGTTTCGCATCCTCCGACACTCCGCGGTCTCTGGTTTTGGAGTTCAAAGTTCACCTTGTGATCCACTTCTTATTGCTGATGTTGCTGCTTGGATGGTGCAAGGTTAGGGTTGAAGCGTGTGAGGCCGAGCTGCCGCTGTGCTACTAAGCCTTCAAGCCCTAACGAAGTCCCAAATAGCTCGTCGTCGAATATATAGAGGCCTGAGCAATTCGCTAAACACCCCTTTTTGTTGTACAGTCATACTGTAGCATAACCCCACAGTAACACCATTCTGACCATCAAGGCCGCATAGCTATGGAACAAACCCTCTGAAAAGCTTCTTACTCCAACCATACAAGCACCCCATTAAACCCTATTGCCCTAAACCCCCAACCCTAGACCCAAACCCGGGTTACCCTAAACCCCGAACCCTAAACCCCAAGCCCCATTTTTCTGTTTAGTTCAGCATGTCGAATTGAGGAGTGCGTCTTTCGACTCATGCCACAACCGTCAAAAAACCCAAGCCCTGGAAAGCCTCTCCCCAGCAGTCCTCAATCGCACTTGAGTCGATGTCGGGCTCGATAAAGTTAAAATACCTGAGCTGGGCTGTTCCTGATTAGGGTTTAGGGTTTAGGGATTAGGGTTTAGGGCTTAGGGAGCTGGGTCGTAGTGTAGGGGGCCTTAACAAGTCGAATCAGGGTTTTGAGAAGTGTATGTTTTGTATGGGGTGTACAGGGATCATATAGGGTCTGGCTTTAAACAAGGGCCTTAAGAATTAGAGCACGATTCCTTTCACGAGCTCATGAAAAGGGTCACTAAGACTATGATCTGGTTTATGTATATAGGGAGCCCGTAAAAGGTAGAGTAGGGCTTCAACGTGGTTTTGTAAATGGGCTTTCACGTGTTAATGAAGTTTGAATGGGATTTTCAAAGTGCGTCGGAACTAGACTATGGGGTTGATGGGGATTTATTATGGTTTTAATGCCTTCAAACAGGGACCTCCATAACCAGAATACCGAGTTTGGGGATGCGTTGAATGTGCAACTTTCAGCAGAAGTAGTGGCATTTTTTTCAGGCACCTGCATTAATGAAGCGCCCTGAAGACTGAGGGGTTCTTTGGGTTCATAAACGTTCTTAGAGTAGGATTCGGAGAGCTCTTACGGATCCCTAAACCCGAAACCCTAAACCCTCAACCCTTCACCCTAAACCGTTTGGCTTTAGGGTTTAGGGTTGGGGAGCGGCGAGCCTGAAGACTCTGGGCCCCTGAGCCCCCCATGTCCGAGAGACGCGATGGCACAGAAGACCACCTGCATCAGGACCTCAGCTGCGAAGATAGCACAGGATACTTCACAAGTAACTAGAACAGATGATACGACATCCTTGATAGGTCATTAGAACAGATAATATGGGATCCTTGATAAGTCATTAGAATCGTGTTTTGGGTACAAGTTGTCTGATAACTATACCCTAAACAAAGCACTTTTTTTGGCCAAAGGTCCTTTTCTACCGTTACCAGTAGCGGGTCCCTTGGTGAGGGTTCCCACCTTATACAGGGCTCTTTTTTGTTAAGGCCATTTGTTTAAAATCAAGTTTGAGGATATGGGGTTCAGGAGTTCCACAACTCGTAATCCAAGAGCCACAGACTATATACTTCAAGCTCAACTAGAAGGTTCGACGAGCCCATCATCCTCGGGCACTCGATCCCCTAGCCCGTAAACCGTCAATCCCAATTTTTTGACTGCGAACCCCAAAACACTTTCAAGAGCCGCAAGAATGCATAACACCCCCAGCATCTCCCAAAACTTTAAGCCCTGAACCCTCAACCCCTCCAAACCCCAAACCTAAACCCTCTAAACCCTGAACCCCAAACCCTAAACCCCGAAACCCTCTAAACCCTTAAAGCCTCCCTCCCGGGCCCCGGGCGTTGATCACGGCCAGCAGGAAGGTCTGGAAGGAGCCCGCAGGGCCCAGGGCCCCGGTGCCGATGAAGATCACCAGGTCCCAGGTGGACTCCCCTGGTGATTTTCTTTTTTTGAGGGGGGGGGGGGGTTGGGAGGTTTAGGGAGTTTGGGGTTTATGGTTTAGCTTTTTGTTTTTAAAGCCACTTTTCCAGCCGCCACAAGTGTTGGTTGAAAGGTCCATCGAACCGAGGCTTTGTACAAGGATAGACTGTGGGGAATCGACCACCTAAACCAAGGCAACCCCATAAGAGTTTAGGGGGAGGTTTAGGGGGTTCGGGGTTTGGGGTTTGAGGCCACGTTGAGTATGAGAGACTTGTGGGGCATAGGCATTGAGCCAAAATTGTCGAAGAGACGAGATTGTTTACGGTTGAGGTTTTTCGGGAGTTACGGTGTTCTTCCACAGGTTCAGGATTTCTGCGATTCTCGAGTGTAGAGTTGAGGAAAGTGTGTAGAAACACTCCTGTCGTGAAGTCCATTCATACCTCTGACGTGATGCCTTTAGACGCGCTGCTACAGCTTGCAGACCACAAGAAGCATAACCCAAGAAGAACCACAACACAAATCACCTACAAGGCCGATGGATACCGGCGCCCGGAGTACTGTAGGCTTGGGGCTTCCTGTCGCGCAAGCCATATCCGAAGAACGAAGCATCATGGCCCGTCTCTTGCGCCATTTATGGCCCAACACCCTCTGAAGAAATTGAAGCCGAGATGCCCCAAGTGTAGTACTCCTTCGTCTGCGTGTCCAGAAGCTCTTCGGTGATATCGGAGGTCTTCCTCCTGTCGGAAGGATGGCGAGTTTTGAGCTTTCGGGATTCGGGACTAAAGGGTTTGACCAGATTCCGTTCCACTCAGTTTCAGGTGTATTCAAGGATTTCAGGTTGTGGGTGCGGGGTTTAAGAACGAAGCACCTACACCCTAACCAGCGATCCTACTACTCCAAGACAACGGCGCCCCATGACAAGTATCACAATCCCTTAATCCAAAACCCTCACCTATTCAACCATGCACCTGAAACCCTAACCCTCACAACCGATACCCCGCATCCCCATGCCTAGCTACCCCAAGGGCGCGAATTCAGTAAAATAAGACTCTGGGGTAAGTTATAGTAAAACCATGTTAGAGTGCCCTTCACGAAGCATACTACCAAATACTCACGGAACGCCCCCGCACCCCTATCACCTTGAACTGGGCTCCTGGAAAACTCTGTGATCTTCGAGACGTGGCTTTTCGTGGACTTCTCAGACTTCGGGGTGTCGTTGCCCACGTGAAGCTTCTTCTGCAGCACAAGAGACAACACCGCACTACGGTCCCGAAACAGCTCTACTGTAATATACGGATAATAAGCCCCACAGTTATACCACAAGATAGGGATAAGACCCCTAAACCCTAAAGATAGGGATAAGCCCCCTAAACCCTAAACCCTAAGGATAGGGATAAGACCCCCCCCCCCCTTACAGCCTTAGAGTCCCTTTCTGAGGATGATAGTGATGCCATACTGCATCCCCAAAACCCGGTCGAATCATTAAGGCCATGTGCCTAGGCGTTGGATTTTGGCCTTGTGAGTATTTGCAGAGTTTCGAAGGATGGTCATGATGGCTGAAGGGGTAAGAGTGAGGCCTTAACCATTGTAATGGGGTTGTGGGATATATGTCTGCACAATCTTGCGCTTTTGAAAAAGGGTAGTGGCTGTTTCTCTGCACGAGTTGCACAGGTCTGTTGCCAACCTGTGGACTCTAAGGAGAAATCGTTACACAAAACCCAAACCTCAAAACGGGTCATCGTCAGCAACAGCATGACCACCAAGACGACACGGGTCGGATGGACATGCTTTCAGGGCCTCGTCATTGTCCACCTCGTCTTTCATTCCAACGATGTCGTCCGGCGGCACAATGGGAGCCTGCAGGGTACAGGGCTCATTCTTCCTGAACCCCACAAGCCTAAGTCCCAAAGCCCACAAGCCCCGAAGCCCCCGAAACCAACATGGTTTCTGAGGGACTTTTAGGAGCTCGTAAGGGTTCAGACCCTGCAAACTTGCTACGCTGACACGCCGACAAGAAGAGAATGGGCATGGGGCCATTGTAGTCGAGGGTTCACACTTCGTCCATCACGACCAGCTGGCCCTGCCGCTCTTGATTAAGAAATATTCGGTATCAGTACAGTGGGGCTGCTGAAGGCAGTCTGTCAAGGGACATTGAGCAAAACACACTTTCCAGTCCATGGATACCCTCGTAAAACCCCGAAACCCTGAACACTAACCCTGAACCCTCAACCCTCTCAACCCTAAACCCTAAACCCCCAAACCCTGAACCCCAAACCCTGAACCCTCTCAAGTGAAGCCACGGCGCCGGGGGCGGCTCGTTGGCGATCTGGGGGCCCTTAAAGTCGCCCCGGATGCCCTGGGACGCCACACGCCAGGGGCTTCTGGGTAAGGGATCCCTTGAAAGGAACCCTTAAGGAGCCTTTAGAGGCTCCCTTAACGGATCCCTAGAGGAAGCCTTAAAGGATCCCTTAAAGGAACCCAGAAGGGAACCATTAAGGGAACCCTTACGGGTTCCTTTTAAGGGCTTCCTAACAAAAGGGCTACTTTAAGGGTTCCTGTAAAGGTTCCTTTAAGGGTTTCTGTGAGGGCTCTAAGACAAGCATGAGGGGAGAGTTCGAAGATTCCAAACGGGGCCTGAATTCGAACAGGCTTCTTGGGCGTCTTCTACTGCGCTTACGTAGGGGACTATCACGAGGGCCCTGGTCCTAACCAGGCATCTATTTTGTGGGCCAAGGGTGGTCAGAGATTACGTAGGGTCTTGCGGATTTCAGGGTTAGTAGCCCCTACAACCCTCAAGCAGCCATCCCCACAAAAACGGCCTAAACCCTCACACACGCACACACACACACGCGCACACACACACATCCTTCCAAAAAAAAATTGAAATGAATCCGACTCTAAACCCTGAAAACCCCGTATACCCTACACCCATGAACCACCCCCCTCAAGAAACAACCTGCGATCACAATACTTCTACTTCAATGGTTGAAGAATTAAGTCCTCAATTTCAAATTTATATTAAGTGCGTTCTCAAGTCACTATGAAGGCTTCCCCAAAACACCTTAAACCCAAACCCCAGACCCTAAACCCCCCCTGTGGCCTGTGACATCCGAGTCATCATCTCCTCCAGCTTGGCCAAGCCTCGCTGCCGTTCGACTTCGGAGCTTGTCACATCGTATGTTGCTTTCTGGTGCCTCTATGAGAGCTGTCTGGGATTTCCGCAGGCTTCTCGAGTTTTAATGAAGGCTCGAGAGGGAGCCCTACAGGGCTTGTATGAGGGTTGCATGAAGGTTTCATGAAGGGTTTCTAGGGTCGTATTGGGGTTGCACAGGGCCTTCATGACGGCTTTATAGGGCTCCGCTAAGGGCTCTATAAGAAACTTGGATGTAACTGTTTGAGCGGTCCTTCTAACAAGTACTTCCTGTATCTCTTCGGATGGCTACCCTACAGAGACGGCCTTGTACTTACCTTTGGGTGGTAGGGAATGGAGGAATGGTAGCAATAGTAGTTATAGCTGTACCCCATTCCTCCATTCCCTACTAACCAATGGTAAGTGTAAAGAATGCTTCACGACGTTTCCTGCGATTCAGCATAGTCCTATGAGGATCCATTAACACCATGCTTGTTGTTTCTGAACGTTTGCATGACCCTGGTTACTCCTTGCAGAACCAGTCCCGAAACCATGAACCCCAATCCCTGAACACTAGACCTGACAGCCCAAAAAAAGCAGTCGTGCGGCGCTCGTGGAGCTCTGGAACCATGGAGGCTAGCGCAACCTGACATCGTTGGGAGTTCCAGAAACGGGGGTTTCCGAAAACAGGGGACCCTGATATACTACCCTAAATAGTAGGATCCTTGTTACAAGGACCCCAAAATAATGTATCCCCAAATACTAAACCGGGGAGCAACGGAACCCCACGGCTCAGGGATTCCATGCTCGGAGTGTCTTTTTCCGACTGAAAGTTAGTGCAGGAAGCCCTTGCCAGGGAGGAGAGGGCGTGGTTTAAACTGACGGCAGTAAGCAGCCGCCTCAAAGAATTCTAAGCATAAGATCTTTGTTGCAAAGACTCCTGACAGAGACCCTTCATTTTCGGAAGCCCCAGGTAGAATGCAGAGCTTGCCCTCCCCCCCCTCCACCTCACCCTCCCCCTCCCCTTGGGGGTGTAAGAAGTACAGGGTTCAGGATCGAGCGTAGAGCTTCTGGCTGCCCAGAGGGCCAACCCCTCCAAGAATCCTTACGTTCCTTTAAGACGTCAAGAGGTATTGAACTGTCTGGCTAGCTACGGCGGCTATGTTTTTCTATACCCGAATCAACTACTCGACTCGACACGAATGACGGGACTAGACAATGGTAACTTTCTTTTTGTACTTGGGGTCTCCTGACCTTCTACCCTTCGGCCGGAGCACCGTCTCCTCCAGCTCATCGAAGCGCGCATCGATGGCATGGAGGATGTCAGGCCTTGGTGCAAAGGGCAATAACAGAGCGAAGGATGACAAATATACGAACGTTGCCGTTGGTATTACATTTTGCTATTTCTGGCGTTCCCGTACTCATCTCTTTATTCCGGCTAAATATGGAGCTTGACAATCTGCGTGTTGGCACAATCATCACCACCTAGAAACTTTGCGCGCATCCCGCAACTACTAGACTCCCTACAACGCACAACTGTGCAATATCCACAAGATTCGAGTGCATGCTCGTGCGTTGCCTTGTGGAGGATGCTCAACAGTATCACATCCCGACATGCCTGAAAACTTCGAGACCTTCAATTCCAAACAACGCACGGTACACCCTGAACAACAAATCCCACGAAACCCTCGACTTCAGCCGAGAACCAGAATTCAAATCATTGGGACCTGAAGCATCTAAACCCGCAAACACATAAAAGCAAAAAGGGAAAAAAAAAAAACAGCTAAAGCCCAAAACCCCTAAACCCTCCAGGAAACCCGAGAAACCTTTGAGAGCCATTCAAAACCAGCAAAAAATATGTGTGAAAGTCTTTCTCAGACGCCCGGTCCGATCCGGGCGGCTTTTGTGAGAAGGTAGGGGCCTTAATAGCAATACTTGATATAGGGGCCTTGATGCCCTAAACTCTAAATTCTTTGGCCAGGCGGCTCTTGTGAGAATTTAGGGGCCTTAATACTTGAAATAATTGCCAAGACTCTCAACCCTAAACCCTAAACCCTGAATTCTTTGGCCAGGCGGCTCTTGTGAGAAGGTTGTTTGCTTCCTGAACTTGGCCATGGCTCCGCCCAGCACCGGAGAAGTGGAAGTGCTGGGGGGGGGGAGCGGTCTGGGGCGGGGGGGGTGGGGGGCCTTCGTAATTACCAATACTATTGTGGGGGTTCCTTATTATAATTATTATATAACGGGCCGGCGGAGGGGGGGGGGGGGGCGAAACTTCCTATAACTGGTACTGGTGCTGACACGACCATAAGGGCTGATATCACTGCTGTATGTTCACATCTGGGGAGACGCTTGATCTGGCGGAGGAATCGGTCTTGACTGCACGAAGCTGTTTGCCAGTCATGGAAAGAGCTGGCTTCGAGGCAGAGGCACCAGGACGCGGCAGGCTTCTGTTGGGTGCTTTGTAAAAGACCGGTCACCTGCTGATAGCACAAGGCAGGCAGGCAGCTGGGTCCTCCTGGTGTTGAGATCATGACAATGATAACAAGACGACGACGGCCACAGGATGACCACTCCCACTCCCACAAGTCGCTGTAATGGCTGACAAAGGCGCGTGCTCTTCGCAACACGGGCTATTTTCGTAGCCTTGTGCAATATCAATGCTAGCCAAAGCTTTGATTACTCCAAAAGCACGAACAGCTGCATCTTCGTTTCACTAGTACTCACCCGAGATCTTAAGAACCCATTCCCTGGGTCCTCCTACTAGGGCCTTATTGACTAGAATAGGGCTCATGGGGTTTTGCTTGGGTGCTTTAAAAAGGGTCTTAAGGGTCTCTCTGATGTTGCTAACAAGTGAGGTTAAGTTCTTTTCGTGAAGTCAGATGCAAACGGGCTTGGGATTATTTTATGAAAATCGGCGGTATGACTATGTTAGACTTGTAAGAGGAGGTGATTACTCATTAGCATCTCGCTGCCCAACTACAGTGGCTTCGCACCTCGTAGGTGCCCGCCCGCATGGCCCTCGAGCAAGCTGCATAGCAGGAAAAGGGGAAAGAATAATTAAGGCCCCAAGATTAAGCTTGGAGTTTGGGGTTGTCACCTGTTGCCGCCGGTAGTGCACAAAGAATCAACATTGTTGACACCAGGACAACTATTGTTCTACTGCAAACATCTCCCTCGCATGTACTGACATCGTGGTGCGATGATTCTGCTGCTGAACAACATTCTGCATATCCAGGATGAGACATCTACCAAGGCCGTAGTCTAGTGTACTTAAAGGCAAGGCAAGAAGTTCTGCATAAACCCTAAAGACCTGCCTGAGGACCAAGGAGAGAAGCGGCAGACGGATGTGCCGCCTGGGTCGGTGTGAATGAAGGTCTCGGGGATTAGGGTAGGAACCTGATTAAGAAACCCTGGGCCTATAGCCCCAAAAAAGTAGGATTCATATAAGGAACCCTAACCA